CGGAGAAAGCACATTTTGTGGTAAAGCTATAATAAAATAAAATAAAGTATTCAAATTATTTTTAAAACTAGCTTTTATATTTTATAATTTATAATAATAATAATTTATTTCTAAAATAATAATTATAATATAGTATTCAAATAAAAAAATATATTTTTATAAAGGCTGTCCCACGACGATATAACGTGCATGAAGTACTAAAGTACAGCTTGGTGCCTTTTTTAATACGAATTATCATGGTAAATGTGTAATTTGAGTTGCGTGTACAGAAAAATAAAAGGAGTAATGTACAAAGCAAGAATACTCAATAATTATATATTTAATCCTAGATAACGCAGGTACACTTGGATAAGTTAATACAATTATAATAATTGAAGACCTGAATGAAAGAATGAATGTTTAAATCTATAAAATTTCAACTACATTACAATCACAGTCTATTCTTTTCATATAGTTTGCCATATCAGTTGTGCTAAAAATATTTTTTAAAATACCAAATCTTTTGTTTATTGTATTTTTATTGGTAGTATTGGTTTTATATACATCAATTGCTTACCCGAAGAATATTATCAAACATTGAAACCTTATTACGTAATTATTTGCTATTACAAAAAGAAACTGCTATTAATATTGTACGATTGAATCAATTCCACATGTATTCGACAAGTTATATATAACTTCATTTTCCTTTCTTTGACTACCACAGTCACTAATTATAATTCCACCATTTGGAAGAAAACCAAAAAAAAAAAAAAAAATTATGTCAAATGAAAATGTTTACAAAACGTAAAATTTGAAAAACCGACAAGTTAATAAGTTAACAACTTAATTAGTTGTAAGTAAACCACCAAATTTAGGTGATATTAGATTTTCTAGAAATGGTATAATTTTTAAAATATTTTGTCGAGTTAAAAAAAAAAAATTAAATTTTAGCATAATTAATTTAAATAAATTCGATGTTTGTATACAATAATTTATCATGAAATTCATGCCGGTTATTTAATGGCTTTTAATAGTAGATATTTTCATATTTCACATATATTCATAAATATCATTAAATTATTAATATTGATGGATAGAAATAAAAACATATTTTTTGAACAAGTAATTAATTATAACGTAAGTGTTGCCACGGTTTTAAAAGTTATCTATTATCATTACAGATTAAACAGGTGAACAGGGTCAGCTCCAGGTGAGGCTAGGGGCCGTGGTCCCCAGCCCGTATTTTTTTTTATTAAAAACACCTTTACAAAAAATTACAAACTATTGACTATTACATACAAGTGTATAGTTAGAGGTAGATACTATTTACATTATGAAGTATAATTTTAATAAGTTGGTAATACAGGGTATAATTATAGTTAATATACAAGCTATTAAGCAAGTAGACTCACAGGAAGAAAATAGCATTTGTACATAGTGGGGCGTGGGTACAATAACCCGACAGTCAACCAAAACTCGATTATTTATACAAAATTTAAAATACTAAACAGCGTTTGTAAATAATTAAAATTGAGGTTTTTCAATTTTCCCTGCTACTCACCCAACGTGGTTTTGCACAAGACAGGTTATCATGAATTTGAAACAATATTTTTTACTGCGTTGTTGGTGTAACTTCATTTTTAATGCAGCTTTTTTTTTTAACGTTGGCGTTCGTGCATGGCTACGATTTCTTATTATTTTTTCTGAAAACTATATACTACCCGGCACGGCGTTAGACTTTTAGGTCTGGCAACTCGTGAACTTATAATGTGCCATTAGTGTTCGGAACTGTATCGCGTGGCGCGCTCTATTTGTGAAATTTAGCAATTGATAAATATATTGTCTTAATAATTTTTAAGTCACCACCAGACAAATTATTTTGCAAATCTTGACAATGTTACATTAGTTTATCATTAGTTTAATAATTAATTTATCATCAAATTTTCAAGATAATTCTTTAAATAATTTTACCCTAACAACAAAATGTGATTTCTGTTTTTCTATATTAGATAGTATTAGGAAAAAAAAAAGGAAACAAATACAAAAAAATATAAACGAATATGTAATAAGACAACACCTAATAAACACAATAAGTTAAACCTTTCAAGGAAAACCATAAAGAATATTAATAATAATTAAAAAATAACTACTATAAATTGTAATATAATTAATTCAATAATGTTTATTTAATCATTTTCTTATCTGATCAATAATCTGTTTTAAAAAACACAGACTAAGTTGTAACGTCCAAAACCACATACCTTTCCCCACTATCCCGCGACGCGCGAGGACACTGTAATCAGTATCAAAAGTTCATTCTCACCACCTCTCCATACCGATCGCGTCACTAACAGTACCGATGTGTCCGGGGAATTCGTTTACGGAATGATATGTAAACACTGGGAGAAACGTCGGCCAATCACGTACTTTCGAGCTTATCGTCTGTCGCCGCCAGTGCTGAGCTTGGCGAGCCGGATTGCGACGACAGACAACGCTTGACTTTTCTGTTTTGGTTCCCTTCCGAATAACATGGCCGCTGAGTAAATACCTACAAGTTCCGGTGTGCCGGACGGTACCACCACAGGTCCACGGAGGTAATATCATTTTTTTTTCTTAATAATAATGTGGCCGATGTTTCTCCCGTTGTATTCCATTTTTTGTATATTTCCGTTGCTCATTTTATTATAATTTACTTTATTATTTGTTTATGAGTAGCGTGCCTATGTTACTGTCTCGTGTTAATAACAGAGGGTACGTCGACTGTGTACAATACATATATACACATATATACATATATTCGCCAGGGGACCCGTAGAGGCTTGGTAGGTCCAATCATATACTGTAATCGGCACGGATCCCCCCGTACAATAATGGTCGTATGGTGTAGTACGGGTAAGCCGCCCCACTCCACCCTGTGCGAATCTCTCACTAAATGCGACGTGCCTCGCTCTCATTCTATCATTTTCCGGTGACGTGTCCCTCAGGTTATGATGCTAGCAATTGTACATATATATATATATATATAAACAAATAAACCTTTGTTGAAACAATATAATATCTTGTAAATATTTTGTTTTCTTTTATATTATTTTTATTCATTTATTTTTTTTTATATGTACGAAAATCCTATGTGCTCCGACCCCCGGGTCTCGGCCGTAGGTTGGCGACCTTGCTTCCCTCCCCCCGGGCAACCGTCACATGACGCTCGCCCATAACAAGGCCGGGTGAGACGTCACAGATGGCGACCTTGCCAGGATATTCTGATTATTCGAATATTCGAACGAATCCTTCAAAAAAAAAAAAAAAATTATTATTATATATTAATGTTACGAGCAAGTTATTCTCTGTCTCGTTCAATATGGAAAGTTTACTGTTTTATACACAGATATATCCATAAATATTGTTATATTGTTATTATAATTAATTTAATATGTTTCGATAATATTAAAGTTACGACTATTTCGATAAGATAACACATTATTAACCAATTACGAACAATAATCAGTAACTTATCGGGAATATCGGCCACAATCGCCCCCAAAGAACCCATTTCTGTCTGCGTGCAGTTGCAGGTGGTTATTTCGTCAAGTGACGTATTATTAACCGTTACGGAAAGTTCACGGGACATCGATCAACCGTACCGACCGATCGTGCGGAGAGGTGGACGTCGCGCAAACCGGTTCCATATCACACCATGCAAAAGACGTCACCGCTGTTGCCGATATCAACTACTATCAACACGACGGATCTGGAACGATTGCAGTTGTTTACGAGTGTCCTCGCCGTCGCGTTGTATAGTAACCAATTATAATAAGAAAGAATAGTAATTGTTAGCGTTTGTGTGTGCTAATCCACATGTGTTAATTTCCCCATTTACTTCCGGTATATACCGTCACATGACTAATTATTTTACCGCCAGATGATGATATATACATACATCCCTTACAGTTTATTTAGTAAAACATACCGAAGTATATTCCGTTGAAATAAAACGATATTTACGGTGTCGCGCGTCATATTCATCTTCGACTCTTCGGACGGTCTGAGCGTTATTCGCGTTTTCAGCTTGTTTCAAAGCAAGTAATTTGTTTGATAAGTTTTTTTATGTATGTATATATATACACATATATAGTAATGTATTTATTTTGAGCTCCAGCCTGGTATGGCATCGATGTTTACTTCCGATTCCCAGCCCCTGGACCAACCATAGTTAATCATATCTATTTGCAGAGATATTGACAGGTAATACTATAGTTTTTTTTTTTTATTTTTCTGTTCGGAGATGAATATATGAATATGCATGGGCGATACATGTAAATTATTTTTTTTTTACCAAATAACAGTTATTATTTTTTTTTTTTTTATCAAGCAATCGAATATCAGACTTGCAGACTTATTATATTATTTGTACTCCGCGGTATTATTATTATTAAAGAGTTTCCCTGACAAACCCGTACTAAACTACTACTAAACTACTCAAACTTGAGTTATGTTTAAGCGGTTGAACTGTCTACCACCAATTAGGATCTTCTCACTGCTTTCAGTGTTATTATTTTTTTTTTCTTCTTTCCAATTTTTTTTATTCTGTTTTCGATGATACCGTTATTAAGTTTTTCTATTGAACATGTGTGTGTTTTGCCTGCAGTGTTTTATCGTTTCGAAAATTTTCTAACTTTTTTTATGGTCATATAGTTTTAGATTAAAATATCTCTTTGTCACTAAAAAAAAAAAAAAAATAAAAAAAAAATATATAGTTTTAAGTTTTTGTGAGAACATCGGCCCGGGAACGTGTCCCGTTTATTATAGGTAATATTATCTTTTCTGTGTGACTGTGTGTGCCGTTCTGGTGCATCAGAACTTACACCACATTCAATTTCACATATTTCTATTTTTCCACGTTAGCTTTGTTTCTCCTTTTGTCAGCATCTGCCGGTCTTCGACACAAATCTAAAGAGGAACCCGATAGACCTGAGACACTTGCCGAAAAGCTCAGAAATTCGAGCAATTCCAAAGTTAAAATGAATACCAACACGTCTTCCGGTACCCCCAGTGGTAACCAACCCCCAATAATCAACCCCACCCTGATAGATACTACCGAAAAATCTGAGCCCACCATTCAAGAGCTATTTGCCAATATGTCCGCCATGATGGCAAAAAATTCAGAAATGTTTGATAGGAAATTAGATCAGAATACTGAAAAAATAAACAAATCCTTATCCATACAAATTCAAGCGTTAGGACAACAACACGAGGATACCGTTAACCGCGTCGTATCTGTCGAAAAGGTGGTTCGTGAGTTACAAAATTCTATCTCCCCACTTGCGACCAAATTGTCCATCGTCGAAAATGAGTTAGATAAATTTAAAAATGTTAATAACACCTCGAGTAATTCTTTCTCTACAGTAGGTTTTCAACCACAATCGAACTCTACTGCGGCACTAAATGCTCCATCGGTTTTAACTGCATCTATGATGCAACCTGAGCGAATAGGAGACATGGTTTCCCAGTTCACGAGTGACCCGAACGATATACACCCCGAGATGTTCTTGATACAACTAGAACAGTATTTTTCAAGTTATCTTTTATCTGACGAACAAAAAATTGGTTTGTTTAGGCGTCGTTTAAGTCATAATGCTCGAACCGGGTTTGATTATTTGATGCCTGTCCCTAATACGTATAATGAACTTATACATTTTTTTCGTCAACACTACTGGTCATCATCCACTCAAAGGAAGGTCCGACATGAAATATTTGCTCCGTACCAACATAGGGCACCCACCGGTATCGTCACCCATGCAATGAGGTGGATTGCGAAAGCCAAATTTCTTTCTGCTCCTATCGAACCTTACGATTTAGTAGGCATAATAATCCAACATTACCCAAGTCCATTAAGTATAGCTATTCGAGGGCGCAACCCTAGGACCACCCAGGAACTACTTACCGTACTTACGGAAATGGAAGAGTCTACATCATTCTACAATTCTACTCCCACCTATCAATCTGAAATTTGAAATTCTAACGCCCCTCGGAATCGGGAAAATAACGATAACTCTCGGCGACAAAATAGCAATAACCACACGTACGGTTCCCCAAGACATTCTGCGAATAATAATAGAAATTACAATAATCAAAATTCAGACTCATCGCGAAACAGTCAACGTGATAATAATTTCTATAGTTCAAGGGAACACACTGGAACAAACCAAAATAACTCTCGTAATTTTAATACGTCTAATGCGAATAATTCTCTCAATACACAGAATCGTAACACGGCTGTCCACCAACTTAACGCGTCGAGAAACGACGGAGAGACCCACACGTAAGTACGTCGCGTGGTGGTGCCTTTCCTATTGACAGTCGACGTTCTAAATCGATTCCTCCCCAATCTCCACCGTATACTTCCCCGAATATCGTACACCATAAACACGGGAATAATGCTTTACAATTAAACACCCGTCCGAGTTTAGAAATTATTATTATTAAACAAAAAATAGATACCCTCATTGATACAGGAGCACCAGTCTCTGCAATATCTGAAATTTTTTTTAAACAAATAAAACAATGTGTTCCCCAAGGACAACTATCAGTTCTACCCGTCTCAGGAGTCACAATTACCACCGCAGTCGAAGGCAGAAGCCGCAAAATCACCCAACAGGTTCTAATACCATTCGACATATTAGGTCACGAATGCGACAGTATCTGTTTAGTAGTACCTCGCTTAACTGTCCCTATGATATTAGGAAACGATTGGTTAGCACAACAAAAAATAGATGTGCGATATTCATCCCGTACCTTTTACTTTCCCACATGGAATCTTAATGTTCCATTTTCAAATACGACCACGGTCCCGATTGATTATGTCCATCCAGAAGTAACCGTTCAGGAGTGCTCGGAAGATTCCGATGACACCACTGATATTGAAAACAATAGTTCTCTATCTACAATAACACCCACTATGTCGAACGATAATTGTGAATATGAACCTTTTCAGAACATAATGGACCACATCACGTCAATTACCACAATCGATGACTCACAGCGCCAACAAACTATCAAATTGTTTAAGAAATACCAACATGTTTTCTGCACTCGTCCTGGTTTGAATTCATTATATACCTGTAAATTCAACGTGTCTGTCGACACGTCATTTAAAGTCAACCCCTATCCAATTCCATTTTCTCGTCGTCCCGCTGTAGATGCCGAAATGTCTCGTATGATTCAATGGGGTATCGTTGAAAGATGCTCGTCCCCGTACAGTCCCCTAGATGCCTAGGTACTCACTACTCGCTTTGTTGAAAAAACTAATTTCCTCAATTAATTGCTGTTATATTATTACTAATTCGTTAAAACCTTGTTTTCTCTTCGCGTGTATATATATAATAACATTTATTATTATTCTCTGATTAATGATTATACTACTACTTATTTTATAGCCTTGCAGGGTGAGTTTTAACTTCCAAATTAAAGCTGGTACTCTTTTTTTTATTAACTACAAAATTTGACAAACAGAGTACGCAACCTGACAGGGTCGTGGACATTAATGGCACATTTATTGCCATGTTCAATGACATGAGTTTCATAAGCCTACTCTATACAATTGTCACAAATGATAATCCACTACTCTCTCCCTACCTAAACTTAAAAGTGGAATATCTCGTTAACGGGTTAACGGAAATCAAAAATGTTGACGCTGAAATTTATTTAAAGCAATATTATTTGAAAAAACCAAAGTTAGTATCTCCGCACCATACAACTTACACAATGTGAAAAATCTAAGTATTCAAAAATATCGGCTTTAACTACACTTAAAAATTCCGAAAATCAAAATTTGAATACATGCAAAGTTTAACCGAAAAAATGGGATGAATACGCTTAGTGAATCATTCTGTATATATTTATATATTTTAATGCTTGAATCGTATGCAATAGTTTTAAAATAAAAATGATAATTTATGGGCAGTCGTTTCATTTATATTTTTAAAAAATATAAAATTATATTTAAATATCACATGTAATCAGTTTAAAATTAATTACTATAGAAACAGGTTTTAATATAATTCATTGAAATCAACATTTAAATAATTTACTTTCTGATTTTTAAAATTTAATACACTTTAAACTTTACACAAAACACAAAATCTATACACCTTTTTATTAACACTATCCAAAATAAACACAATGAAATCGAATGAAAATGAAGAGTACGATAGAAGTAAGGTGTTTTCCACCCAATCTGATAACAAATCCTCACAAAATCAAAACGATAAAATGAAATCAGCAGTATCAAAAAGGGTTACAAATAAAACCAAAGCTGACGAAATTATTGAAAAACCACATAATAATATTTCAAATAATTACGTAAAAGAGATCAAACAGTTTGCAGCTACCAAAGATTATACAAAAATAGATAGACAAACCGATTCAAAACAAATAATGGAAAAAACAGGACGTCAACATTCTGAACCATCGAAACAAAACACATATAATAGATTTCCATTAAACTCTAGAAATTATATTACGGAACTCCATAGAGTACTGTTAAAAGAATGTGAAGATAATTTATTGGATTTGAATTTATTAAATGCAACATTAGATGACGAATCATTGACAAATGTCACTCATCGTACGTTAAGAGCAATTAAGGTATAGTCAAACTAAAAATGAAAAGAAATTAATATAAAATTATTTTTTTCTATTAAATGAAATAGGTACCAACCTAATCTTTGTAAAATTGTGTTGAAGGTTTGATTAAAAAATATGTGTCGTTATCTACATTCAATACCAATATTATTATTTATTATTCAAATTTCCAACATTTCACTTTATATTAACATAAAGAGGTCGTTGATTTTAATTTTGATTTGTTAGAAATACAGAAATGGCAAATTTTACTATGAAGTCTTGAGATTATTTTCAATAGGTCCTTACTTTATATTTTGTTTATACCTGTTTATACCTTTCTGTTTACGAAATTTTTTACTGTTTTCGTCATATTATATATTTTAATACTATCAATAGTGTTAGCATTTTTTGAATTTCCTAGAATTTATTCTTATAATCAAAAAATACCGTCTAAAATATATGATTACTCATCGATTACTCATCAAGTCTTAGAACATAACGGTCATAATATATCAAGTTCACAACTTTTAACTCAATACAGATTAAAAAAAAAAAATACTATTTTAAATAATATTAGATTAGGAAAATATTAGATTTAAATTTTCAATATTATTATTTTATGATCCATATTATAAAGCTTTCGGTTCGATAATTATTGAAATAGACCCTTAACCACTGAGATTTACCAAATTTATATTTATGTGTACATAGCTAATCAAAATGGGCTAACTTGTGTTAGATGTGGTTTGTGGGAAATTGTTACTTTTTACAAGTACCTCTAATATAGTTAAATATATTCTAGTATTACTCATTAATCTATGTGAATATATTACAAAGTCAGGATTTTTGTTTTAAGAACCAAAAAATATTTTCGGTATTGGGATATTTTCCGAAAATTTCAGAAGAGTTGAAAAACCGTGGCTGGGTAGAAAAACGAGATCCGTATAGATCACCAATCAATTATTTACAATATTTAACATCGACACGTAAATAAATATTTTTAAGCCAGTCACGAATACAAAAAAATTATTAAACTTAGTTATTTAAATATGTTTTAAGCAATGTCAGTCAATTGGATTGAATCTCCTCCATTGCTACCAGCAAATAGTGGGAACGAAGTAGTCTGGGAACGATTGAAAAACATGCAGTCTTGGAGTATTCTTAAAGATAGACGATCTGATTTGATTTTTGTCACTAGAAAACGTCTTGTTAATTGGTCTAGTTTACACGAATTGACGTCTGTTAGTCAAATGGCAAGACATGCGTTTTGTACCAAGGTTAGTGCTGAATCTTATATAGATGAATACTAGCAACTAGGTACTCATATTTCACATCTTATAAGGATAAATATCATACTGCCCATCTAAAGCCGGGCCCACACTAGAGCAATATATAGCAACTTGTTTTGTACTTTGGTTAAAATCAAAACATGGTCTATTGAATATTTCTACTGAAACAATTTATATCTGTAATCTGTTTTTCTAAAGTATCGACTCGGCTTTATAAAATAAAAAAATAGTCCTATGTAGATCTGTAGATTAGTTTAAAAAGAGCCAATGTCAAACAATTTTGTCAAAAAAAATATATTACAATTAATATGGATTTTACATTAGATTTTTGAACATTTGATGATTTTTTTTTAATTCATTTTTTAATAGATTAATTTTAAAATGTTATTTCCCAACAATTGTTTTGTTTGACATTGGCTCTTGTAAAAATGTATAGAGATATATTGAATATAAGATATAAATTACTATGCATATTTAATTTATATTTATACTCTATAATCTGTACATACTAGGGCGATTAATTATTCATAAAAATAACAAGAATAATAACTTTAACAACATTTAATACAAATTTGATAAAGAAAACATAATATGTATAATGTACGAGTACATTATGTTTGGAAACTGTAATCACATTAAGTATAATCTTAAAATAGGTTCACAATCATTTGGGTGCCATTTGGGGTATTGCAGGGTATACATTGGTGGATCTATTTTTACACGTACCATATTGGCCTGCCTAAATTTTATACTAACGCCGATATATCAGTTAAATTGAATTAATGAATTAATATAATATAAAAATATTTTATAAATAATGTGATTTTATACTTTTATCAGTGTTATCACTTTAACATATTAACGTTAATATTCAAATATATACAAGAACGGGATGTATATTGCGTAGAAACGTAACACAACGGCACTACTATAGACATATAATATAATATAATAATACTTTGACTCTTCACTTTGGCTGGAGGTTTCATTAAAACAATAAAAATTCTTCAAAATATTATTATTCTTCCAATAAGAACAGCATCCAATAAAAGGTTCTTTTCTTCTCTTAAAAAATTGAAATCCTACATTAGAACTACTATGAGCGATGAACTTTTGAGTGATTGTTGTAGAGAAAGGAGATGCTCGTAAAGCAAACTTAAATGCATCAGTAAATAAACTCGATCAACTAAAAGTTCGAAGACACAAACTTATTTAAGAGGAACTCTTAATTTTAAACTATAAATAATTTATTAATTACCTACTTGCTTGCTTACTTCAAATAACTACTTGCATTAAAAACATTTTTTTTTTCGTTATATATTATTGCTTACTGCTTTATTTGTACAATTAAAGATTTGATTTTAATTTATGGTATAAGTAATTTCAAGTTTAAATGCTATTATTAAATGTTTGAATTTGGTTTATAAATGGCAATGTAATATAGATTACATAATGGCATATTGAATACAAAAAAATGGCTTGCTGAGTACTACTGTAATCTCAAAGAAGTACAAGTTCTAATGGGAGCATAGGGTTCTATTTTTATTAATATAGGCTTTTTGCATATTTATTTTTCATCCTTATTAGGACTAGAAATAACCCCAACATTGTTACATTTCAATTTTCACTGTTAACTGTGATCTGGTGGTGGAAAAATGTGCCGTGATAAAAATTTGGCAGGCCTATTTTAAAACTGAAATGGTGCCCCTGGTTCACAATACGTTTTTAAATACTCGTATCATTTATATTCGATTACTTAAAAAAAAAAAATTCAATATAAATAGTAAATACAAATACTTGTTAATTATACCTATAAAAAATAAATTATAAATAGACCTATCTAACTTTTTTCTTCTTATCAATAAATTTAATATGGCTTGTAAGATTTGTTTAAATTTTTGATTTGATTCCAAAAAATATTCCACCGAGCTTGTTTATAAACTTGTAAACTTATACCTATTTATTTATAAATAGGTACCTAATCTAATCAATTTAGATATTCAGAACCTCGTAGGTCCAAGAATTTCAAATGGTTCATATTATTTTATTACTGTTAGTTAATGAGCTTATTAGGTTGATTTTAGTTAAATAGAATAGATAGATTACAATAATATAATCAAATATAATTATAAAACACATGCAGATAAACTATAATGTAGTTTATGGTTTTAAGCTTTCATTAATTTTTTTTATTACACTAATACAGTAAATATTTCACTAAATACCAAATGGTATTTACTATTATAAAAGTTTGAAAGATCTAGGTAGGTGTCAATTGGGGTACCTTGAAATTGAGAAGTGAACTGGAAGAATTGTTATATTTTGGTAACAGCATTTAATAATTTTATCATAGATACGCGAAATAAAATTCTGATTCCATAATAATATTTTTCGTAACGTCTAGTATGCGCTTGATAATCATCGAAAATGTGTTATCTCATAGGTATCAATACGCCATGTGATTCAATCATTATTTATTTAAAAAAAAATCCAAATTTACAACTCATATATTAAGAACTTCAGAATTCTTAGCTTAGCGTCAAAATTACAAGGTATTGTTATTTTTTAGTGAATCGGTACTGAGTTATTAATATAAATGGTCAAATAGAATTTGGAAACAATATTATTTGATTTTTTTTTTTCCGTAGAGCTCTTTTACCAGCAATTTTGCTCCAATTTATAATAATAGAAATTTATCTAAAAGGAAATGTCACTGGGGAGATACTTAAGAACGGTCGTTTTTCAGTTTTTTTAGCAATTTTCCTAGCAAATGTGAAAAACCGGGAAAATCAGTAAAATATTAAATACATATTATTAAAGAAAATATATATAGCCTATTTGATTATTTTACTATAATATGGCATTTATATTATTAATAGAGCATCACTATCAACTGAACTCCGCTCAGAATCGTTTTTTCGTAAGCAATTTTTTACAGTTGCTTACAGGTATACATTAAATTACCTATAACAGTGGGTGCACCTGTCCTCGTTAACCTAAACGTTTTTTTTATATTTGCATTTACTTGTATGTATATATATATATATATATATATATACATCAAAAATATTTAAATATACCATCAATAATTATAAACAAATTAACATAACCCATTTTCAAATCTAGAATGGTTTGGCGCAATGTTTAGAGCCTTATAAATATGCAGTGACAAATTTGATGTTTCCAAGGTGTCATTACATTCGAAACAAATCTGATTATGATGCATTCCTGGAAGATTACATAATCACAGCACTTATTGGTACATTGAAGATAATTGTGCAAGCAATTGAGAAAAATGAACGAAAATTCTCCGAAAAAGGCAATGTAAGTATTGAATTGAGTAAATAACTGAACATATTTTATTACAGAAATTGGCCCCATCAGATACCCTACGATATGATTTATTTTGTGAAACGATGTGTATTCAAATTTCTGAATAAACGTCAAACTGGTTGTGCAGAAATAGATATGTGGAAATTTGAGAGCGAAATAGAAATATGGAATGAATTCTTAAACCATTACACAAAATTAATTAGCAATGATAACGCTACATTTCACCGAGAGTACACCTATCAATTAGAAGTAATTATCAGAACTATAACGAATTTATTAGAAATAAGAACTTCAATATCATCGTCAATTAATTTTTATTATTTGTATAAGTTATGATTTATATCATATTTTTACAATATGTTTTCATGTTTTTCATTCTTTAAAAATATTGGGTTTTAAAGGAGTAATACCCCAATAGTTTTTAGAAAAAATTGGAAAATATGTACTCTGTGCTAATGGTTTAAGCTCTATACTTTAGAGGTCTTTGATCAGAAAATGCGTTGCCAATTTTCTGAGCAGTCTGTTAAGTCGTCGTGCAAACCATTTCATCTATAGTGACAGTGAAAACACACGAAAAAACACGGATTTTTTTATGACATGACACAAAAAATATTGAAAGTCTACGGTCTATTCCATAGAGTAGAGAATGTATAGAGGGGCAATACTGTTTACTGCTATGTGTAATGAATTGAAGCAAACAAATAGAAAACATTTAGAGTGACCATTTTGAAAAAAATAAAATTATTTTTCACATTTGGTTAGTACCACATTAAATTTTCATATTATCAATTAATATTCATAGATAATTAAATCACTAATTATTGAATAATGATTTAAATAATTTATAATAAAGATTTAATACAAATTTAAAATATGATTACGGTTTCTCATCAGAGATTAGGTTAAGTAAGGGATATAATAGTTTGGTACTAATGTTTGATGATTTTCAACATTGGTCACTCAAGTGTTCTCCATCTAAATGCTTCATCATATGGCCGGGTGGCTATTAAATAGTCTACCCGATTTTACATTTTTAACGGTTTATCCTCTAGTTTCGTTTTTAATTTTTTTCTCAAAAATTATTTGTTTGGTTAGTAAAAATGCTCCAAATTATTCACATTGTATCTCAATAGATTTTTTTATCCCGTGGTAAACATGTAAACATGATTATTGATTTGATAAAATATCTTGATCATGATAATAACATAGTAATAAAGCAGTTAAAAAAATCAACATATATAAAATAAGATAAAATAATATTTCAAATGTTTATGTGTCAATTTTCTTAATGCAATTTTTTATATTACGATAAAAAAAGAATGCGGGGGTGGTGTGATAAAACTTATAACATTATAAATAATATAAAAATAACTAAGTTAAATATTTCATTATTTATAAATAGGTGCATAATTTATTATATACATATTCATATTTTAATAAAACTATTTACTATTTTTTGTAAGTTATAATTTTTTAATATTATGGTTACCTACATAGCAATATTTTAAACTTTTTTGTTTGTGAACTCCTTTAATGGATACAAATATGTATGGATCTTAAATAAAAATACATTTTATTGCTATTGGGAATATTAAGATAATTTAAAAAAATCTAATATAGAAAGGTATAATCTATACATTTATAACACGGTTATGACAATAAATTATTCTACATTCCAGGTGATTCATTTAAGTGGGTACACTCATTATCTTGGAAAGTATTAAATTTTTCAGGAATTTTTTTTCTAGAACAAAATTTTATATCTGTGTTATTTTTTACCACCCTTATATTTTGGGGGTAAAACCACTAGCTACTTTTGATTTTCAAATAACAACCTATATTAAAAAGTCCAAAAATAGATGAATTATATTTTACCCCCAAAAATAAGGGTTACAAAAAATAACATAAATATAAAATTGTTGAGCTATTTGTTTCTTAAATTTTTTAGAAAACAAATTTTAAAAAAGTTAATACTTTCCGAGATAATAAGTGTACTCACTTAAATGAATCATCCAGTACATATTTTAAATTCAGAGTATAGCAAATGTATTTGTTTTATAATGATGCTAGTTTTTTGTATATATATATATATTTTAAATAACTTTTCTACCAGAAATCTTACTCCAATATATGAAGTGTAGTATCTTTTCTAAAGGAAATGTTATCTACTTGGTATATTAAAAAGGTCATTTTTTTGATTTTTAAAGCGGTTTTCATAATAATTCACAAAAACAAGGAAAAAACATAAAATGAAAAATGATACATTTATGACGTTACTATCTCATTAGTTTAAATTCTCCGCTTTATTTTTCTACCAGAAATAATGCTCCAATAAAAAAAAACAACAACAAATCATTGATTGAAGTTGCATTTTTAATCTAGTTGTTGAGTAATAAAGTTGTTTTTGATTTTCCGTGTAGTTTTCTTGATAATTTAGCGAAACCGAAAAAGTATTGGAAAATTTATAAAAATGCTTTTATTGTTTTCAATTTTATTTTTTTGTTGCAATTCAGTTTTTGAGCTATTTACAAACATTTTAATTTTGCTAATTTTTTACGTAATTTTTAATCAGTATGTACTTTGTGGATAAAATTGTTAGACAAACAAAAACGCATAAACATTTGACATGATGTGTTTATTGTAAGTCATATTTTGTGGTCAATTAGAAGTTGAGTTTGATAAATTATTATTTTTTTTTTTTTTATAAGAATTTTAATACCAAATTTTAACGAGATATTACGGCCTTCCGAACCTCACTCCGAATCATGTTTCTTTAGCATTCAATTTTGTTTTATCGTTGTGTACAGATAAAAACTAAATTTATCTCTACATCCTACCTTTCCAACTTCTCACTTACAATAGAGACCCACTGATCTTGCAAAGCATGTCCTTCTTTTTAAATATCTTTTTACGTGTTTCCTTATTTCATACAGTTATTTGTTAGGTACAAGGTTTAATTATGTCGGTCTATCCACGACGTATATAGTTTGTTACAGTGGAAACTCAAAGATATATTTATCGTAATACCTAGTTTGAGAAATATTTAAAATATAATTTTAATATTTGAATAATATTATTTAGCTAGATGTTTATTCGAGATGTAAATATTTGCTCGACATGGTGAAAATATATTGTCCTCAACACTATATCGACGGAAACACAAATACATGGATTATAAAACCCACATCCAACTGTTCTGGACATGGAATTTTACTGTCTAGGGACCTAAATAAGATTAAAGAAAAAACTACTGTAACAGATGGATTAAAGAATAATATTGTACAGAAATATATTGGTAAAAGCTGATCAACATTTTTTGAACAAAAATCATAATTATTTGTATTTTTCATAGAGAAACCTCTTTTGATTTATTCTTGCAAAATTGATTTGCGGCAGTGGTTTTTAGTGACTAATATGAACCCAGTAGTCATTTGGATGTACAAGTTAGTATACGCAATGTATTGAAGTGTTAAGATACCTTGTCACAATATTAAGTATTCTAATCATTCAATTTTTAATAAATTAACATATTTTATAGAGAAGGCTACGTTAGATTTTGTGCTAACAGTTTTTCTATGAAAAATATGCACGAATCTATTCATCTCAGTAATGTCAGACTACAAATGAAATATAGAAAAATGCGAAGTTTGAATGTACCAGAAGAGTGCATGTGGAATTTCGAAGATCTAAAAAATTATTTAATGTAAGGCATCATATGCATCATAGGCATTACTATGTATAGTTGGTACATAACCAAGCAATAATTATTTTAGTTTTATGAAAGGATTACTAAAAATTAATGATTTCTTTAATAACTGCATCCGACATTTCTGTTCTAGAGAGAGTCAAAATTTGCTTCCTTTCCTTCCCTGCAGGCCATGTCATTTATAAGACACCCATTCCATCCATACAACTCCTTTTATATATTAGGCTTAGCTACCTTACCAGCTTCGATTTGTTGTGCAAACTTTTCCACCAAAAATCTTGCTCCGATGTATCAAGTGTAGCTTAGGAAATTGTATCTACATTGTACTTTATGGAGGTATATAGTATTTCAAATACTTGTGCTACTTTAACCCACAAAGTACAGCAATTATTCATGTTTTTGCGTTTTTTGGAAAATGTATTGTTTCGTATCATAACCCATAATAAATTGTATAGCTCTTAAAATTACACACTTATACATGTACATATTGTAAAAATAATTTTATTTGAAGTTATACAAAGTGTAACTCACTATATAAGTAAGCCATTCTTAACCATTCTTAAGTAAACCATCTTGGTAACTAAATGGAAAATAAGTTCAAAATATTTTCAACCCCCAAAAATTATATTTAAGGGTGGTTAAAAGGGTTGATTTATCAAAATTATCCAAAAATTTACTTTTAACGGTCTAAACGAGAGGTAAAGTTTAGATTATTTAATTTAAAAATAATAATAGTATATTTGTTTTTTTCTTCTGATAACTTTTGATCTTACGATCTTTCCTTAAAAATTATTATTTACACACATAAAAAATAAAAACAAAAAAAAACTTTTTTCCTAAAAATGATGCTCACAACCTTAACAAATCTGAAAAAAGGAGAAAATTATTAAGCTCAAAGGAACACAATATTACGAAAAAAGAACATCTAATAAAAAAAAAAATTCTGAAATACCCTACTCTATATCTTGCTTCAAGTTCACCATAAATAATAGTTCATTCAGACTGCGTTTATTTTAATGAATCTATATTGTTTAGAATTCATGCCATTTTGGAGTTATCATTTTGTAGTACGCTTGGAGTATCGAACAGAGTAAAAATATCTAAAAGACAATTTAAATATTCATCAAAAATCTTTATAAAGAAAATGACTAAATTATTTACATGATTATTTATCTCTTTTAAGCTACTCAGCTTGAGTTTAAGATAGAAAGTAATAGGTACATTATAATAATAACTAGGTTATTCTTACTTCTTTATATTATTTGTTCGCGAGTTTTCATTTTCTCTAAATTAAACTTAAATAAGGCAATTTAAAGTTCTGCTTAAATTTTATAAATATTGTCTAATTAATAAATATAGAATATAGATGTTGTAACTCTGGTAAAACTATATCCACTTAGTAAATATCATTTACTGCATATTTGAATTAAAATTTAAAAACTTTAACAAACTTTAGCCCACCATTATGCAGTATTAACCTAATCACTAAATAGTATTCTATAAATCCTTACAATTTTACATTTAAGGACTATTGGTCAAGAACATGTTTGGGATGATTTGATATTTCCTGGAATGAGTGAGAGTATATACGCGGTATTACAGGCAACTACAGAGAACTCGTTTTATCGGCCTAAATCGTTCCAGCTGTTCGGGGCTGATTTCGTGTTAACCGATAGCTTTATCCCTTACTTGATTGAAATTAATTCCATTCCTGGGTTGAACCCATCTACAAGCGTTATTGCAAACTTGACGCCAATGCTCCTCGGAGACATAATAAAAGGTATTTAATGTATTGCATTTGGTCCATATACGGGGTAATCAATCTATCATAAGACACTCATTATCTCGGAAAGAATTAATTTTTTCTGGAGTTTATTTTCTAGAATACTTAAGAAGCAAGCTGCTCTACAGTTTTATATTTATGTTATTTTCTATCACCCTTATTTTTAGGAGTAAAACCACTACCTACTTTTGATTTTCAAACGGCAACCTATACTAAAAATTCTATAAATAGATGGAATATTATTTAAAATAAATGTTGGTGTTAAAAATTTTGATTTTCGTCAATCCACTAACGAGATATTCCACTTTTAAGTTTAGGTAGGGGGAGTAGCAGAGTACCATTTGTACGGCACACCACAACGTCTTAATAATGCGCAACCCCAACTTAAAATTATAAGTGGAATATCTCGTCAATGGATTGACGGAAATCAAAATTTTCAAAACCAAAATTTATTTTAATTAATATTTCATCTATTTATGGAATTTTTATTATAGGTTGCCTTTGAAAATCTAAAGTAGGGAGTGATTTTACCACCAAAAATAAGGGTGACAAAAAATAACATGAATATAAAATTGTAAAGCAGCTTACTTCTTAAATATTTTAGTAAACGAATTCCGGAAAAAATAAATACTTTCCGAGATAACAAGTGTTTTACGATAGATAGAAGGTATACGTATTTTCAATGTTGGCAATTCACTGCAAATGCAAAAATGCGAACAAATTATATTATTTATTGTGTCTATCCACCCCCCCCCCCCCCCNCCCCCCCATATTAACATTTTTTTCAACTTTCAAGTGATTGTTGACTTCGAAGAAAATAGTAATGCCGATACGGGATTGTTCGTAAAAGTCGTGCCAGAAAAGTGGAAACCTGTGACAACAATCCGAGGGCCTACCGAAGGGACTCCGTTCTCGCCACCAAAAATAGCAGCCAACATTGCTGACCCTACGCAAGCATACTATTATTATCCACACCGCCGATGGGTAGAAAACGTAAACGACAAGCTGGCCGCTATACGATTCCGGATAAACGCGCGGGAAACGCCAATTGACCGTTATTTCGGTTACAATCGGGATACCTTGTTGATGACAGCGGCGCCAACTGGTACAGCGACGTCGGTAACAACAACATCTACTGATATAAACGTCGAGACTGTAAAAAACTCACACGATACGACCAACCCTACCACCAGGGAAACTATACTGAACGATATGCATTTGTCAGCAAAAGAAAAAATGTCCAAACTTAAAACGATGTACGGCCCGAAATTGAACGACAGCCATCAGATTCGATTATCTAAACTACAAAACGATCTAAAGAAACGATGACAGGCGTATTTATACCAATAAAAAAAATCGAACAGTCATACCCTAATCAAATGATACTTTTTATATCCAGCGTACATTAATTTCCTTGTTACGTCCTACTGATATGTCTTGATGTGCTCAAAACCTGTAGTAATGAATAATGATAACCTAGTATACTTCTCAGCGTATACACTGGACGCCTGAATTTGTTTTTCCTTTAATTTACTGGTGAAACAGAGATAAGCTATATAGACCTAAAAATATAATACATTGAAATATACCTGTAATGTATTAAATATGCATTATCCAATAATACTGATTAAAACTATATACATTTATTAATTAAAAATAAATGTCTATAAAAATATAATATTAACTAATTATTATAACAACATTAAATGTGGCAGTCAAATAGTTTTTTTATCTAACAATAATAATATTATCAAAACGTAAATATAATATTAAGTTTTTCTCACCAATAGATAGACATAATAGGAGACATATTAATAAAGTCGGACAAAGTACGAAATTATAGGAGATAAAATGAATGAAACAAGAAAAGCCCTACTCAAACAAAAATGCAGAAGAAAAATTAGAAGTAGGTAAATTATATATTCTGGTTTATTCCCAAATAACAAAAAATATATTTTATTAAGATTTATATAATGTTTTATTTTTCCATAATTTTTTATTTAGATGATATTTAGAAAATATTTATAAAATAACGGATGGCCATGGAATTTTCATTCATTAAATATTTTAAAAATTATACTTTTTTTTTATAAAAAATAAAAGTGTAAAAATACGGAATCTCGTAACTTCCCACAGTCGGGTATTGAACCCGAGTTCCTGCCTAATCTAATCTAACGTCCTATCCACTAGAGTTTAATCTAGTGACTAGACTACCTATTAATTATTAAGAAATTAATTTTCGTTAAAATTTGATATTAAAATTCCTTCTCGCATATTAAAATTACTTTTTTAATCTAGGCAACTTGAGCTGTTAGAAAAGTTACTACATGTAAAAATCGAAGGTGGTTTACTAAGAAAAAACGTGTCTACAGACTAGAAAAAAAAAATAATAAAACTGTGAGGCTAATAACTTCCTCGCTACGCTCGGAATCTAAAAATATATATATTTTTTTTTTTTTGGCTTAAAACAGACCCTTCAGGTCCTTCGCCGCAACCACTACTTCCCTCCATCTGTCACTATCCGTGGCTAGCTCTTCACCGTTCAAAATTCCCAGCATATCCAAGTCTTTATGGACCCTATCTACCCATCTTTGTCTTGGGCGGCCGAGTGGTCTTTTGCTCTTTGGCTTCCAGTAGATGACTTGGCCAATTGTCTGCTCTTGGCCTCGCCATATATGCCCTGCCCAGCTTATCCTTTTGCTTTTCATAGTAGCTTTTATGTCCGAATCCTCTAACATGTTTATCACCTCTTCATTCTTCCTTTGCTCATAGTATCTAAAAATATATATTTAATAATAAACATTTGTTGATTGAACCAGATTGAATAATAGGATTTTGAAATTATAAATTTCTAGCAAGATAACAATAACAATAATAATAACAATTGTTTATTGTAACCAAAAATAACATTAGGTTATTACAACATAACAATAAACTGCATTCACTGTCTTATACAACTAAGACCAGGGGGAGGGGGTTTAAGGCCCACTTAAATTTAAGGAATAACGGACCATTTTTTGTATGGCACATCCCAAGAAAATATCCTGCGCACATCTATGTTAGTAGATTTCTATTCATAATCTGGTACTCGTGACAAAATTAATATACCTAATACAAAATATAGGTAACATTAGAACTTTAAAACTCTATATAAAAAGGTACAATATTTAAAAAGAAACAAGAAAAAGACTGACATACTTAACATGTGGATTAGTCACTGTTTTAGGAGAGAAGTTAGGAAGGTATCTAAGAAATTGAATGTATATTTATACAAAACGATTAATCACTACTAATAAAACACGTTTCTGAGTGGAGTTCGGTATAATAGTGTTGCTTTGTCAACAATATATTATTGTAAAATATACATATGTTATATGTATTATATATATTCTTTAATAATATTTGTATATTTTCCCTATTTTTCCGGTTTTCCTACATTCATACTATTTATTATAAAAACAGCTGAGATAATCAAAATAATACCTCCTTAAAGTACCACCCCAATCCGATTTCCTTTCAGGAAAGGTGCTACACTTAAAAATTAGGAGCAAGAAACCAATTTTTTCATCACTTTGCTCAGAAACTAAAACCTTCATAGGAAAACTAAAACATTCATCATTTTACTCAAAATAAAAAAAATGCCTGATTATTTGTTTGAAATGTCGAGTGCTATAAATTTCTTACCTTAATAAAAATGAATATTTAATTTAATTTCATAATATTTGAATACAACTGTAATAATATAATAATGAGTAATTGATACCGTAAATTAAATTTGTTTGTAATTCTACTAAAAACATTATATTATAATTTGACTTCCATCTGTTATATTGTGTACTTAATATTATTTGATTAATTCATATTGTAATGGTAATTAGGTAAATGCAAAGAGAAGTATAATTTTTTTTTATTGAGTACACACATAATTAAATTATATATTTTTGACAACACGTTTAACTATATGTTTGTTGTAGTCGAATGGTCATGAGTATGTATTGTTATACTAATGGTCGTGGGTTTAAACCCAGGTTTTAAAAAGAAATTTGTTGCACTTTTTTTTTTCTTTTACCTTAATAGGCAAAAAAAGAAATGCATTTTAAGTGTACCTAGGACCTAGATATCACTAGTAATCGAAAAATACCTTGTTGTGCAAACTATTCTACCCGAAATCTTGCTCTCATGTATCAAGTGCAGCGTATTATCTGAAAGAAAATTTCTTCTCTATGGTTTAAGGAGGCAATTTTTGTGATTTTTCAATCGGTTTTCATATTAACTAGGAAAAAACCGGGATAAAATGTCAGAAAAACGGGAAATATACGAAATGTAAGTATTAGTAAAAAAATATTATGATATTTTATTTCTGTGTACAACTTTTATACCAGTAATCTTGGTTCGATTTACAATGATAGCGCTTTTTCTGAAAGAAAATCTGACTAGAAAGGTACATTAGGGTTATTTTTCGATTTTTCCGACAGTTTTATTAGCAAATGTGATAATCCGAGAAAAAACTTGGGAAAACCGAGAAAAACGCAAAAAAAACGGAGATAATCTATACAATAATAAACAAATATAATTAAAAAAAATATATATTGCCTATTTAGTTATTTTACCATAATATGACTTATATATTGATATATTGTTGACAAAGCATTACTATCAACTGAACTGATTACAGATATACATTAATTCACCTATAACAGTGGTTGCAACAATTTCCATTACCCTAGGACATCTTTTTTATTATTACAATTTTATTTTTTCTTATATTCATAATTACAAAACAATTTAATTATATAGAACATAATAATAAATAATATTAGATCTAATTCAATAAATAATATAGTAACAACATTTAAATTTATAATTCATTAGCATTCACAGTGAACAATTAACAAAGTATACAAGTGAAAAAACAAATAACATAATAATTAATTAAACATAAATATCTTAGCTATATACAAATTCTTTTGATCTAGTACTTTTTATTAACCTTTTATGATTAGCAACAGGACTTGGAATAAGTTGGGTGTTGGTTGTTGGGCTGATATTTATTATTCAACTCGAAGGATCTATATTTTTAAACTCTATGTCATTGAGCACTCATTTTTTAATAAATCTACTTGTTCTCTTCAACACTTTTTCTGTATTGTCCCTCACCAAATATGACCTTAGTGTATATAACACTTCCACTATAGTACCAAGCATCCACTCTTTAAAATCAATACTATTTGATTTCCAACAAATTCTTTATTTGAAAACGTATTTCTATTATAATAGTGTTTTTTTTTTTTTTTTTTTAACTGTTTTTTAACATACGACTCATCATTTTATTTTGGTTTTAATACATTATACACAATTGGAATCATATCTTTAAGTATCCTAGACATTAGCAGCTAAGCTGGTGATAACTTTAATTCACTAATAGGTGTATTACGATATTTTAATAAGGCTACTAACGGACTACTACTAGTTATTAAACATTTTTTTAATATTTTTTTACAAATACCTATAAACTTTTCTACAAATCCGTTTGACTGCGCATGATTGAAACTAGTAGTTTTTATACTGAAGTTCTATGTTTCTGAAAATTCTTTAGACTCAGTGCTACTGAATGGAAAGTTATCTGCTATGATTGTGTTTGCTATACCAAACCTTGCGAACATAAGTTGTAATTTCCCTATTAACTCTTGAAAATACTTGTTTTTTATTGACTCAACACTTTTAGAGTAATAATTTGCCATTTCCAAGAATAATTTTTGCTTAAATTTTAAGATGTCTGTATCTAGTTTTTCCCATGGACCATTTGTAATTTCGTAAGGACACAGTGGATCTTTCCTCTTTCCACAGACTGCAACTTTTGACACACATAACATTCTAACACAGCAATATTAATTTAACTACTCCCCACTCCTCAATGTACTTCATGTATAATACTCAGCATTTCTTTCTTTATTGATTCAGGAAGAGTAGTTCCTAACAGTAATTTACAATCTTATTGTCTAAAAACACTAAACCATTACAAACAGTTCGATTTTAATTTTCCAGTATAACCTAATCTCATCCGGTACTTGGTCATACTTTTTGACGCATAAGCTACTATATGTCCGCCTTTTAATAAAGCTGAGTATATTCCCATCTTTAGAAGCATCTGTTTGTATTAACACTGGTCTTTCATTTCCAGCATTTTTATGACCAGGGGCAATAATTAAGGCCTTTTTTAATTTCTCTACTGCATCACTATGTTCACTTGTCCACTTATACTTGACGTTATTGTTAGTGAACCTGTGAAGTGGTGCAGTTATTTTATTCAAGTTTGATATGAACTGACAAGATATTTTACCATACCTAAAAATCTAAGTAACACTTTCTTGGTTGTTGGATCTTTGAACGTTGCTACTGCTTCCACCTGGTTATTATCGGATTTTATTTCTTCAGCTGAAATCACTAAACCTAAATATTTGTCTACTTTCTGCCTGAACTGGGATTACTTAAATTTAACTTAATACTAAGCTTTTTTTCTTGTTTTAGTACTTTTAATAATGTCTCATCATACTCAACTTCTGTTTTTCCGCCTATAATAACATCATAAAAATAAGTAGGGACACCTTCATATCACCGAAACTATCACTTGTTTTTCTATGAAAACTGAACTTGTACCAAAGTGCATCCTTAAGAATCTATACCTTACTAAATGTATTGCAAATGTACATAGTTTACCACTCTCTTCATCAAGTAATACTTGAAAAAATCCATCTTTTAAATCTACAACGCTGAATCATATTATTTCACTCAATCCGGCTGATATTTTATCAACACTGGGGATTGGGTTATACACTTTATAGCTTTGTTTAAATTTTTTGGGTCTAAACAAAATCTAAGACTGTTGTTTGGTTTCCTTACATTTACTAATTCTGAGACTTAGGGAATTTTTCTACTAGAACATACAATCAGTTTTACATTATCATTTATTGTTATGTAATATGGCTTACCTGGCAAGGCTCCTAACCCTTTAAATACAGTCAAACACTTTTCTACTATAATTTTTTTACTCATTATTTGACAATTTTCACTCAGTGTGTCTACTTTATTTATTAAATACATTGCTATACAGGCATCTAAACCTAGTACAGGTATCGTCTTATCTATATCAACCACTACAAATTTTATTTTTGGTTACCTTCAATTTTATTTACTCAAATAACAATTTAATTCAACTTCACCTATAGGTATAATTCTTTGATTGCCAAACCTTTTTAACGTTATCTTAGAGTACCCTATTTTAATATTAGGATTACTCTTATATAGGATATGCTGAGTAATACCTCTGAGAGGCTTTAGCTCCAGTATCCAATTTGATGTTAATAACTATCTTGTTTTGCATCTCTACTTAACTTAATACTAATTCCTCATACCATGATTTAGGATAGATATCACTAACTAAGGAATGGATGAATAGATCACTAGTTCCTTTTTGTTTTACAAATACTAGTGAAAAGATTTTTTAAGTTACATTTTCCACAAGTTTTATTAAATTTTGGGTATTTTTTAAATTCATGACTGTACCATATTTGACACCATATTTTCAACAACTCTGACAAGTTGTATTTAAATACCAACTCTGGTGATGGCTTTAAATTAGTAACATGGGTAACATTTCTTTTTTCCCCTCCCCCCTGCTGCCCCGAATAACATTCAGAAGTTAAAAAAAAAAAATTGTGATTTGTGGTTACCTACATGGCTTGTATCTTGTATACTTTGTTTGTCTCTTGTGTACCTGACACCATGTTATGTTGTCTTATTATTAATTGATTAATTCATATTGTACTAGTAATTAAGTAAACACATATTAAAGAGAAGTATTTATTTTATTATTAAGTACACACATAATTAAAGTATATTTTTGACAACTAGACTATGGGACTAAATTACATGAATACATAAGAAAGAGTGCTATGAGCAATTATGTGAGACTAGACTAACAGCAGTACATTTCTGGTTATCTTACAAAGTACATTAGTTCATTTACTATTTGTCATTGGTCATAGGTGAAATAAACGTGTAACCAACTCTGGTTACAAGTTTAATAATAAATACAAATATCAACTAATATAAATAGATGTAAGGTTACTTAAACTGAAATGAATTACAGTACAACATAATTAAAGATTCCAGCTTTAATATTAATTTAAACAGCCCAAAGAACATTACTACACTACAATTTATAAAATGTATTAGTTTTACTCATTTTAGCTCTAAATAATGATGTATAATATATAAATTATAAATGTATATTATATTATATATTTTTTTTTGTATTAATACATAATAAACAAAAATGTATATATGCTATACATGATTCAAGACAATCTATTTAATTTCTGCTGTAACTATTGTATAATAAAATAACAGAGCTAAAATAAGGTACATTTTATAGCAGTATAATTAACAAATAGAAATCATACAATTCTTCTAAAAACATTCAAATTTTCTTAATAATATAACACAATATTCATTATAAATGATATTTATACAATATTGAATATTAGAAATGAAGTACATTTTTGGTATTGATTTTCATATTTTATAATATTTAAATTAGAAGTGATAAATATGTGGTTAAATAAATTAGTATTTTTTTTTTGTCATTAATTTTTACATTCATAAATAATCAATATTACTTAATTAATTAATTATTAATATTTGTATTTTTTTTTCTTTTTAAATAAAAGTACTTATCCAAAATTAATTATCAGAACAAAATGATTATTTAAGGTATATTAAATTGTAAATGTTTGATATAATTTTTTTATTAAAAATACATGTATACTGTAGTGTCATGTAGGTACTCTGCTATAAAATTAATGAAAAATAACCAATCATTAGGTATATCATATTTTAAAAATATTACATTAAATAAAACTAACTTAAAGGAATTTAAATACATTTTAAGTAAACTAGTTTCTACATTATAAATCTGTAATTAAAATCTTAATCTAATTAAAAATCATATTAAATATTATAAAATATAAAAGGTATATAAAAAAAAAATTATTAAAATTGATAAAACTAATCAAAAAATAGTATAAAGAAAGATGCTAAACTATATATTCACTATTCACTATGTAAAAAAAGGAACAAAATATTTTATTTTAAAACTAACAAAAAATTAAATTTAAGTATAAATAAATATAATTGGATAATATAATTTATTACGCCAAAATGTAAAATTAAAAATTGTATATTTGGAATTTTTTTTTCTTTTTGGTTCTTCTCAAAATTTAATTATTTTCAGTACTCCCTTGAAGTTTTTTCTATCTGTTTCTTTAAGTTTAAGTCTTTGGTTTTCCTTTTAATTTTTTTCTTACTGGTTCATCAACCTCTTCTTTATTACGTTTCTTATTTTTGTCTTCTGTATTTTCTTCAATAAAATCATTGTCAGAACATAATACTGTTAATAGTTTATATTTTAATTCGTTTCTCTCTTTTTCTAACTTGCTCAGGGATGTATCATTTATAGATGACTGTGTTTCTAACATTTGTCTGATGATCATATAATTTCTATTACCATTCATACTTTGATGATGCGAACTTCTAGGTATAGCATTTCTTTGATAATTCAGTTGTGGAAATAAATCTTTGCATACCTCTAAGCCAATAGTAGCTGCATTCATTTCAGCCTTGTGTTTACTCTGACCATTTCCTGTTGATATCCTAACACCTTTAAAGTAAACACCTACAGTATGTTTTAGGCAATGACCTGGTCCCGTAATTTCAATCGTTTTATAAATGGGTATTACGGGGTTTCGAACATGAAAAGGTTGTAAATTTTGAAAATATGTTTGTAGTTTTGATTTAGAATCATGGCAATTGGGTTTTTCAATGGAATTCGGCAGACGAGGGAAAAAACAAACATTACAAAATTCCCGACAGTATCTGAGACCTTTGTCTAAAAACAATGCACCAATAAAGGCTTCTACAAGATCAGCTTTATCTTTTATTTGAAATTCTGGTACTTGATTTGAACGAAGCGCATAGCTGACCATGTCCAGATCATTGCACAAATCAGACTGAGTTTGATTCTTTACCAAGGAGCTACGGAGTAGTGATAAATGACCCTCGTGATGTTCTGGATAACAATTATATAAATAGTCTGATGTTATAAACTGTAAAACACTATCACCAAGAAATTCAAGACGTTGGTTTGATCCAAGGGTTAAATTTGTAAAACCCACGCTTTTGTGAGTAAATGCCTTCGCCAAAAGTCTTATATGATTAAATTTAACACCTATAGAATCTTCATACTTAGTTAATTTTTTGAGAAATGGTGATATTTTAATACACTCACGGTCACCATTTGGGTTTTGTTGTTGTAATGGATGCTTAGGGTAATTCACCCATATTCTAAAATGTTCTGGTGAATCCTTGTACAATATTTTTCCAAATACACAATCAGCAGCTTCTATTCCACCATCTAAAAATATTGCTCCTATTAAAGCTTCAAAGCAATTAGCCAGTACTTTTGCATGTTCGAAACAGTAGCATAAATCTGCACCATGAGCATATAACATATAATCTTCCAATTTTAAATTTCTTGCCAAAAAAGTGAGATGTCGATTTTCCACAAGGGCAGACCGATATGTTGCAAGGCCACCTTCCTCAAGATCAGGAAATATACTAAACAAATGTATAGTAGTCACAAACTCAATAACAGCATCACCTAAAAATTCCAAACGTTCATTATTTTTAGAATTTGATTCCATTTCTTCCATTTCACCAAACCGTGACATTGTATATATAAGGGTTTTTAATCCTCTTTTCCTTTTAAACATACTATTTTGTCTATCTCCATATTCTAGTTGTCGCATACCACAATTTGTAAGAGTATTTCTTATATGATCCGAATTTGTACCAAAATTTTCTCGATAAGATGAATGAGTTAAAGCTAGCTTAAGTAAATTCTTGTCTTTGAATTTATATTCTATTGATTTTTCTAAGTACTCCAAACTTTTATAAAATTTAAAATGTGACACAAGTATTGGTAAAAGCATAGCATGTTGAGCTACATCACACATGAGACCAGTTTTATAAAATCCTTTACTACTAAAAGCAGTTGTGACTGTACGTTTCATTTTATTATTTGATCTTATTTCATCTAAAGCTCTTTCAATTATTTCAAGTTCTTTTTCATCCTCAGGTGATGGATCAATCTTATTATCAAGAAGATGCTTAATTTTGAGATAATCTTTGCTGTATTTTTTAAATTCTTTATTACCAACATAACATATTTGTGCTGGTCTTATACCAAAATGAACTACAACTGGATATAATTTGTCTTTTTTGTCAATAGTATCCTCTTTGTTTTCTCTATCTAGTTGATCAACACGTATTGAACTTGGTTTAGTTTCTGGGTTTGTAATAATCATATCTTTATATTCATCTACTATAACTTGCCATTCATCACTAGACATTTGTTGTAAAGCAGGCAATGAGTTTTCTTCAAAAAGTAATTTATTGCTATTTAAAAGATATTTAAGAACATTACTCATGGAAAGTAATTCTTTTTTATTATTTGACAAATCTCTTACAAATCGAGGTATAAAATGAAATTGAGGGCATCCATCTTTATTACGTATAGCATGAAAATCAAAATCCACCAATTCTAATATGTCTTTAAAGAAAAAGTCATAAAACAGTGTCAACTCTTGTATAATAAAATTATCTGGAATCTTTTCTTCAATGTATATAATAGTATAATGAGTATTGAACCGGGTAAAGGTGCATGTTGGCATTGTGGGAATAGGATAATGTGATAGCAATGAAAACCCTTCAAAAGTGTAATTATTATGTTTATGTTTAATAACTGTAGGATATTTATGTAAATAATTTGTAAGTGGAGTAATAGTAATTCTATAATGATATAATTTGTCCGCATTATTTGTATTTGGCAAACAAGATTCAAATGGTACTTCACCAACATAAATATTGTGGAGGATACCAAGATTTTGTGAACTGGGACTACATTTGCAAACTGGCCCATCATTTAGTTCTCCTAATTCGTTATACCAAATGTCTGGATGCAGCCGGTCAGGATGGGCACATTTCAAAGCAAGTTCTTTTAATTTGTCATTTTCACAATCTGAATCTTCATCGCTTAAACTAAAAGAATCACTGTTATCATATTTTTTAATTTTTGAACACTTGCACTTATACACTTTAAAATTTCTTTTATGATCCTTGTTATANAAAGTCATAAAATAGTGTCAACTCTTGTATAATAAAATTATCTGGAATCTTTTCTTCAATGTATATAATAGTATAATGAGTATTGAACCGGGTAAAGGTGCATGTTGGCATTGTGGGAAGAGGATAATGTGATAACAATGAAAACCCTTCAAAAGTGTAATTATGATGATTATGTTTTATAATTGTAGGATATTTATGTAAATAATTTGTAAGTGGAGTAATAGTAATTCTATAATGATATAATTTGTCCGCATTATTTGTATTTGGCAAACAAGATTCAAATGGTACTTCACCAACATAAATATTGTGGAGGATACCAAGATTTTGTGAACTGGGACTACATTTGCAAACTGGCCCATCATTTAGTTCTCCTAATTCGTTATACCAAATGTCTGGATGCAGCCGGTCAGGATGGGCACATTTCAAAGCAAGTTCTTTTAATTTGTCATTTTCACAATCTGAATCTTCATCGCTTAAACTAAAAGAATCACTGTTATCATATTTTTTAATTTTTGAACACTTGCACTTATACACTTTAAAATTTCTTTTATGATCCTTGTTATAAACTGGTTTTGATACATTCACATGTTTGGCACGTTTTCCTAACACTCTTTCAAATTCATTGCATATTTCTAGTGGCATAAAAATTGACCTTTCAAGCTTTTTCTTATAAAAATCAGATTCAGATGAATGATAATATTTTTTTCGTTCTTTAGCTATTATTTGATGAATAGACAGTTTTTCAGATATTTTTTCTGTTCCAAATGGCTTTGTTGTTCTAGAAAATATTTTTGAAATAGTTTTTGGATTTCTGGTATTAATAGATTGATTATTCATAGAACAATTTTGTTTTGAATTAGTTTGATGAGTGTTAGGCACCATTGAGAAGTTAGGAGCAAGATTTGTTGATGTATTATTTACAAACGTACTTCTTGAATTAAACCATTTATTATCTTTTTTTGAATTAGATACATTTTGATTGTTTGAACCACTAACTTGTGGTTCATAATTAATGTTTACTGGATTAACTTTTGAAGGCATATTATGTGTAAATTGTTTTCCTTGGTAGCATGTAGTAGTGTTTGAAGTCATTTGCATATTAAAATTTTTTCCTTGGTAGCATGTAGTAGTGTTTGAAGTCATTTGCATATTAAAATTTGTTGCATTATTGACATTTTGATTGTTTGAACCACTAACTTGTGGTTCATAATTAATGTTTACTGGATTAACTTTTGAAGGCATATTATGTGTAAATTGATTTCCTTGGTAGCATGTAGTAGTGTTTGAAGTCATTTGCCTATTAAAATTTGTTGCATTATTGACATTTACATTTTGATTTGGTAAAATTACATTATTATATGAATAAGATAATGTAGGTTGAAAGGCAGGTTGCATACTCTGTGGAATATAACCATTATTGCTAAAATTTGCATTATAGGTATTATTATATGGAGGAATGTAAGGTACATTTGTAGGCATCAAAAATCCATTATTATATTTTGGCAATTGGTAAGCTATAGGTGTACTATTGTAGTAATTATTCATACCATTATTAGAAAATTGCTGCACATTATACCAATTGTTATAGTTGGCTTGATGGGGAACCATTGGTTGATTTTGCTGGTGATTAATTGATGGATTGTAAAATCCATTGGGCTGCATTATGTATAGTGATAGTGTTTTTTTCTTTATGCTTCACAAAAATAATTTATATTTCAGTGTGAAATATAAAAAATTAAATTACCATGATACATCTTTAGAATTGAATCTGAAAAAAAAAATTTTTTAATAATATTATGTTGAGATTGAAATATTTTTTATTTTATAATTAAATTAATACTTTTTACCAATATTACCAAAAGTTTTTATATACTTTAATCTGACATTTAATAATCATTTTATAAACGTGATAATTATTTTAACATTAATAAACAAATTATGATTTAGTAATATATTTAGATATTATGTTAAAATGTTACATACTTATTTTTAGGGTACTTGATGTTTTAATAATTTCAACTGCAATAATTTTTACTTTGTGCATTTAATTGGAAATTCCTAAACATGCCCTCTGATATAGTATAATTGGAATCTGGAATAATGGCATGACAGAATTTGTTAAAATGGCAATGAAATATGCTTATCTCCATTGATTCCATTGCACTATAAATATTTATAATATTCTAACAAGTACTTTGTCTAATAGTTCTTTAAATATGTAACACATTATAGTTTAATTAAAATGTTAATATTAACAAAATGAAATACTAAAAATATTATTTTAATATTTTTAACTCTGAGCTATGTTGAAAACTAATTTTTAAATTTTTAAATTACACTATCAAACCATTTGTCCCCATAATTTTGTCAATAAACTATTAATTTTGAATTTATATCAGTCCACATCTACATTTCCCCTCTACATACTTTAGATATTTCCTCCAATATTAATAAAATGTAAAAATAATACAATATTTATAAACAATAAAATCTATTTGTTTAGTATACTTACTAAGAATAAATACAAAATGTGTAGGTGTAGGTGTATAAATAAAGGATAAAAAAGAATAAATATAAAAGTTGCACATGTATTTTAGTGATTTAACTTGATATGCAAATTTAAATAATATTTTAAATTTTAGTATTTTTTATTTGGTTTTTTGGTTAGATAACTTAATTCAAATTTATCTAGATTAAAGAGAGATTAAAGATAAATAAATTTTATCTTATTATAAAAAAAAGAATAGTGTTTTTTAACACCTACTTTAAATTCTAACACTTTGAGACACCTTAGACACTACTTAATTCTTCAACATTATTGAAACACCAGCTATATGTTTAATTTAATATTATTAGTAGACATTTTTATTAGTCAATAACTTAGATAAAACTGAACAAACATTTTCAAAAACAACTATAAATATTAACGAAAAAATATATTACACGACTCATCACAGTAAATTTTAATTATTATGATCCTTCACAACTATTTTAATATTTATTTAAATTTATATTAGTAAATATATAATTATTGTTATTAGGTTTATTTATACTATACACATTGCATAAGTATATAATATAAAATAAATAAATAAACTCTTTATTTGATGTTATGATAATGATAATATCATTTATACACAGATGATATGAATTATTTATAAATATAATATCTCGTAAAATACTTAAAAAATGAATTAATAAAAAAAAAAATGGCAATAAAAATGTGTATTACATTATTTTGTATGCTGACGAATTTATCTAGATGAATGAATTTTTTATCTTTGGTAATTAATTGGATAACTTCTAACTAATTATTAGATTATACTAGATAAATTTATTTAGATAAGTCTCAACAATGCCGGCCGGACTATTGTTAAAAATATTTCAACAACTTTTCTACCAGGAGTTTTGCTACGATTTTAAATTATAGGAATTTTTCTAAAAGGAAATTTCACTGAGATGGTACTTTAAAGAGGTCGTTTTCCGATTTTCTCCGGAGTTTTCTTAACAAATATGAAAAACCGAAAAAAAAATAGGAAATCTAAGAAATTTAGGTATTGGCTAAAAATATTATGGCCTTTTTTCCTGTAGACGACTTTTCTACTAGCAATTTTGCTCGAACTTTTAATGTTTTTAATGATTTTAATGATCAATTTCTAATGAAAACTCTGAAAAGTTATCTCTCCAGTCAGATTTCCTTTCAAAAATATGTTATAGTTTTAAATCGGACCAAAATTGTTGGTAGTAAAGTTGTACACCAAAAAAAAGTCATAATATTTTTTGACTAATATCTAATATATAAGAGGCGGTAATTATACAGAAATTAATTGACCGGAATGTGTAATACTATGGAACGCAAAATAACGGAATTTAGTTGATCAAACCATAATTTTGTGAAACGTAAAATTGCGAAACCAGAAAAATATGGAATGTAATACATGGATAGTAATATCTAGGACTGTATTATCTAGGAACGTAATATCACGGACCGTAGTTTTTCGGAAAGTAAAATTACGGAATTTAGAATACTATAAACCAAAGGTTCTCAACATCGGTATATCTAATTACAAAATGGTCGTATAACCTTTGTTTTTTTTTTTTTTAGATCTTCTACGAATGATTTATTATCGGCAAAATTGATGACGGTTGGGAACATATAATTTTATCTTCAATACAAGGCATGAATGGTCCCTCTAAACATGACTTTATGATAAATTAAAAATTCATTTTTGAGATTAATTAAGTACTTTCCTATTTAGTTTACCACGATTTAAAATTATACACATTATTATCCGAGAAAAAATTTCCAAAAAAACACTGTAAGTACCATACCAAATCACGAGATATGGATTTCTCACTTCTTATTAATGACAACTGAAAATTAAATGATTAAAATTGTGTTTACTGTTTAAATTACAAACTTTCTGAATTTCTAATTTCTAAAATTTCCATAAATTTCCATTTGGAAATTTTTCAAAAATAAAATTTTAGATAATTAACAACATACACATTATTAAAAATAATGGTTTTTAATCATACAATATAAATATAAACAATTAAACTATTTTTTAATCCAGAAATGTTTTGATTTTTACATAATTAATTCATAAGTTTAATTAAAGGTGATGATGGGGAAAGTTTAACTAAAAAAAATACTTTCAAAATTATATAATTTCAATTCAAAATTCATAATAATAAGGTACAAAGTAAACACAGAAGATATCCAACGTCAATGCAAACATCACCGCAATTCTATACATAACTTCGAATAGCCCACTGTTAACTTAGAACAGCGATGGTGACCCTAGAAGGACTAATAGTGACGATGAGTGTATAATAGTTGAGGTATCAACTATTATATTTTCGTTATATGACGGGCCGGTATTTTACGTTCTACATTATAACTTTCCCTCATATTACGGTCCGAGGTTTCACGGTCTGGGATATTGCAGTCCGAAATTATATTTCCCGCCACTTTACGCTCTGGGGTATTACGGTCCGGGATATTCTTTCCGCAATAATACGGTTTGAGTTATTACGATCCAAGTTTTTACATTCTGCAAATATACATTCCGTTGAATTAATTTTCGCACTTTTATAGCCCCACATTTTATTCCGGTTTATCCCACATATTATGAAAACCACTTGAAACATCAACAAACTACCTCCCGAAATTACCATGGCGATAAAATTTCCTTTTAGAAAATAAACTACACTGAATACACCGAAACAAGATTTCTGGTGGAAAAGTTTGCACAACAAATGAAGTGGTCTTTGCGATTAAAATAGTCCGAGCGAGTGATGGCTGGGAACCCGAAATACATTTGTTTTTTCCTTGTTTATGTAATAGGGAAAAAAAGTGAAAACATTTTTTTTGAAACCCAGTTTGAATTCACCAACCCTAGGATAACAATAAGTATGTATAACCGTTGGACTACAAAAATCATGTTTTACAAAAGACAATATAATATTATTTAACATAACATATAATATTCGCATAATATCAGAACTTCAAAAAGCTATAATTTCGGAAAAAAAAAAATTTTAAATTAGATTTAATTTTGTACTCAAACAATTTTTCTAAAATCTAAAATAACTGCATATTAAAGCATATATTGCTTTTGATGTTAATTGATTTTTTTTGCATATTTTTCAAACTTTCAAGAGAATATAATCAAAATATTTTAAGGTTTTTAGAAGAATATTAGCATAATTTTTTAAGTATGTTAAGAGAATATAGGTTTAATAATAATAATAATAATAATGACACTACTTATTATTTACGACGTTCCATAAAGAATTACCAATTTGAAACAATGACGTGATGAAATCGATTTTAATTTGCATTATTTCAAATGAGTAAATCCTCGCGACCCGAGAGCATCGATTGTATAATAAAAACAATATATTACATAGTTGAAAAAACGTATTTTACCTCATTTTCGCGTAATTGACGGAGATTTTGACCACGCATACAAAATACTGACACGAAATTTCCAAATGGCAATTACTACTAGATGAACAAGAGACGTTTTCGGAGACGTTCTGTGTAGTGGGGCGTAGTCAACACAAAGGATAGTCCACAGCTGATGCGAAGGGATTTTTTTTTATAATCAATACATATGTTTGTTATCATTTAAACAGTTGGACCGGGTATATGGTTAAAACCATAGATGTATATATATTAGTTTACACAGATACATTATAAAACGACTAGATGGCCGACTTTTGTGTTATTATTGTCACCAACAAAATGCCCGCCATCTTTAAAAATGTTTCTCATGGACTAAGATATAGAAAACTGGACACGAGATAATTATTATGGTTACTAAATGTTATTGGTTGGGCGGAGTATGAGGAATTTGCCTTTCTATTGGTAGTTTTGTTATCTATTTGGAAGTCTTATAAACATAATGTAACCAGATAGTTGTGATTTGTAATAATATGATCTATATAGTTCCATAAGTATCAACTAAGACGGCACTAAAAACGAGAATTCCCCCGTACTCAGCCCGTTCAATAACATTTCATAGTTAATCCTCCATACTCCACAAACTTGTTCGTGTCCAGTCCTGTATATCTTAGGCCGTGGTTTATGTTATATAGTAATGATTAGGAATGATGTTATAATATTTAAATATTATGTACATTATATACTATACAGTAAAGTTCCAAAAAAGCACAGACTAAGATATACCAGCATACTTAGTCCATACAAAATAGTATCTTATCATTTATCATATCAGTTTAATTTTGGATTCTGAGTCTTATGGTTTTGCATAGATGTTTATTATTTATTTTTATCTAGCAGAAATCTTCCTTCAATTTTTAAATGTAGGACATTTTTTGAAAATAAATTGGTGTAAGGAGGTACTTTAAGAAGGTCGTTTTTCAATTTTCTCAAGAGTTTTCTCATCAAATGTGAAAAACCAAACATAAACTAAGGAAAAACTACTAATAGTTTAATGTTATACATTTAATAAATACGTATTTTACATGTTATATACTTTACTGTATTATATATTCCAACCTTGATAATTACATATCTAATCATTTATCAACATAATATAACAAAATATCCGTAGTATTAAGAAAAATATACCTACATGGTTTATTACTTTTATGAAGTTTCATAGATCATTTTGATATTATTATACTCCGTGAAACTTGGCTTGATATGGATTTCGATTTTATAATAAATGGATATAAAGTATTTCACTATTATACTACTACTAATAGGGCTGATGGTATTACCCAATTAATAAATAATTCATGTAAAATAGATAGTTGTAGAACTATCCTTTTACAAAAATGTACTTATTTCTATGGAGATAATAATATACTTAAAATAATACCTAGTCAAAGATTTATTTTTTTAGGTCTATATGATCTCCTTCTTTTACTAATACAACTAATTTTATTGAATCTCTTAAAGCATATTTGTGTATTAATATAAGTAAAAATACTTCTTTTGTTTGTTGTGACCAAGTACTCAAATGTATTAGCAGCCTTTAAATTTTATCGAACTATTAATGGTTCTTGTATTGATCATTATGTTAATAATGTCAATAAAAATAATATTCTTGCATATATATTTAAAATGTAGTATTACTATCTATTTTGATACTATTGTTTGTATAAATGGTAATGATAGTTTAAAGAATTGTCATTCTATCCATGTGAATTATGATTATAACCTGGATTCTATGCATATAAACTTTAAATAGTTAATCCACTAAATCAGTACTATAAACCTGAAGTCTAAATTTTCTAATCTAGGTCCTAATATTCCTTTAGATAAATTACTTGAAACATAGAATTATTAAATTGTTCATTTAAATTAAATTGTTGACATGTATTGTCATACATTTAAGGAAAGAAGCAAGCTTAAAAAATTAAAACCCTGGATCAATAGAGGTTCAATAACTTCTATTAGATTTAGGAAAAAGCTTTATGTTACACTAAAAAAATTACATCAAAAGATTCCATATTGCTTCTTAAATGAGCAACTAACTCATAAAAATGTTTTTTTTTTATAATGCTAATGTTTAAGACAAAAATGTATATATATACTTATTTGTATATTTAAATTCTAATACATTATTTATTTACTTTTAAGATATTTTTATCTAAATAATTCACGGTGATAGTATAGGTAATACAAATCTATAGGTACAATAATAATAATATACAAAATATTAATAATGAAGTTATTGCTACTTTAAATTTTTTTTAAACAGTATTAAAAAGTTGTTTATTCTATTTTAAAAAATAAACACATTAAATATAGAAATATTTTAAATAGGCAGTCAATTACATCTTCATTATTAATATTTTGTATATTATTATTATTGTACCTATAGATTTGTATTACCTATAAATGTGATATAACCAATTACTTTGCTACTGTTATTCAATTTAAATGTAATTGTATTGAAGGGTACAACAAAAATAATGAGGAAAATCTTTTTCCCGATAAATAAAAATTTGATTTTAATCATCTAAAAATTTAGTATCAACTGAGGATTGGCAAAAATTGCTAAACCTCAGTGCTGTTTATATAGCTCTTGTTATTTTCAATAATAAAATGCATACATTTATTAATAAATTTGTAACACTAATGTTAAAAAAAAAAAAATAACAAATAAATTACAATGTTAGATAACAAATGGTATTGTAATATCTATAATAAATAAATAAAAATTATCTAAACTTTTGAAAAATAACCATTTAATATTATTATTAAAAAATAAAATAAACTGTAGCGCTCACACATACTAATTATTTAAAAAAAAATGTATATCTAGATTATTGAAAAGAACAAAAATGATTGCATTGGGACACTCTGTATACAGAAACATTTTAATAACAATTATTTGTAAAGCTAAAGGAGTTTCTTTATTGAGGTGAATTTCAAAAACTAAAAAATGACACTAAAGAAACTTGGAAGATAATAAATAATATTACTGAAAATTATTGTAAAATTGTTATAGTGTGTGTGTAAAAATGGTTGTTGTGTATTGTGTGATAATAATTATCGGATCCTAGAGACTGGTGATTGGAGGAAAACGATTGTACCAAGTGGTGCTTTTTGTATACAGTAATATTAAAGATTTGAGTTAATAATATTATTGAAACATCAAATACAATCCGAACTTGATATATCTGTTAATTTTTTTGTTGTTAATATTGTAAATTAAAAATGCAGAACAGTGAATTATTAGTGAATAACATACTCAATTTTATCTCTTAATTTAGAATTTTTTATTTATTTATTGCGTTGTGGTTTTTCGATTTCCTCAAGAGTTAGACATGAGAAAACAACATAAAACAAATATTATTAAAGAAAATATATATTAAAGTCTATTTTATTATTTTACTATAAATTGACATATATATTGTTGACAAAGGATCACTATCAACTGAACTCCTCTCAGAATCGTTTTTTCGTAATCAATGGTTTATCGTTGCTTACAAGTATACATTAAATTGTCTATAACAATGGCTGCACTCGTCCCTATTATCAGAGGACGTCTTTTAATTGTATTATTTTAATTTTTTTAGCTACTTGCTGCGTTTCGAATAAAATTTAAGGCCAACTATCTCGTATATATTATAGGTTTTTTTTGAAATCTAAGAGAGGAGGTTAATTTCTACATCTTATGATATTCTTCTTTTTTGTATAATATCATTTCTTTGATCAATAAATGATAATATTTTTTTACCAAAACGAAGACATAATAGACTTTTAAACAAAGTTAAGTATTTTTTCATCAATTTAACTTCACAATGTGTTACCAAGTTCTTTTATTACGCGATCCAATGCATTTATGATACTAGGTAATTGTTTTGCAATAAGACAAATAAAAAAATTGCATCAATAAGCGAATAGCGTCGAGTGTCTACTACAAGCGATATGGAAAACTCAAACACGATAATTTCTAGGTAATCAATGGTTAACCCGCATCTTAAAATATGAAAATGATTAAATACCTATATTATATATGTCTTAAATTTGTATATATATATATATATATATATATATATATATCATTAAATGTTATTTTACAATATTATTTTGTATAAAAATAAGTATTCCTGTTAAAGTTTCAATAATTACAAATTCATTTTAACGGGCCCATGGACCTTTAAACTAACCGGGTACCTATACTGCAGGTTCAACACCCTCCTCCCCTTTGTGGGAACCCTGTATGCTATTAAATGCTATAAATTATGTACCAATTTTTTGTATTTGTCTAGAGTAAGTATTATTTTTAAGATATATTAAACATTTGCGGTCTATTAATATTAATGTTATGAAATAATAATGATAAAAAAAATATTGGAATTATAATATTATTTCTGAAATTAAGAAAATTATGATAATTATAAGTATAACATAATAATAATAATAATATCCTAATCATCATAATAATATATAATATAGTATTTATTTAACTATGATGTATTTTTGTGACATGATAAATTCTTTAGTGATTTCACATTTTTCAACTTTTTCAACTAAAAATATTAAATAAACTTTATTTGAAACTGAAAGAATATTTAATTCCGTTTATTATTTTCCATTTCACGGTATTGTATGTAGATACACGCACAATCACTAAGTATACCAAATGTTTATTGCACAATACATTTTCTGTTTACATACACAATATACATACATACATATATATGTATACAATATACTATATATTATATACTTCCAGGAATATATGACTTTTAGACTGAGATATAATTTAAAAAAAATTTTTTTGAACTATATATTTTATTAGCTGTTCCACACCCGACGTTGCCCGTACCAATTTTATTTTTTTTCTATTTTGTTCTATAGTGTTCTATAGTGTTCTATTGTGAAATTTGTTCGTGATTTTCATATAAAATAAACGCCGATTATTATGAAATAAAAAGCCAATTTTTTTTTTTTTTTTCGGAGGGGGAGTGTTGGATTTCAAAGGAAGGGTAGTTCAACCTAACCTATCAGGAATTAGGGACGTTCGACAGTAGGAGAGCGCGTATACCGTTTTATAGTCATCTTTCGCAGACAGCACAGCTTTCTTTTTATACCATGTATGCATATATTATATTTGTATTTGCCAACAATTTATATAAATTTAATAAATTGATTGTTAATCTATATGAATAAAGAGACGGACATACTTCGCACGATGTCATGATAGGTGGGCTACTGTTGTAGATGAAAAGGAAAGGTAGGATATAGAAGATAATTTAATGTATATCTGTACGCAACGATTAATCTTTGGTAAGGAAAGACGATTCTGAACAGAAATTTGTTCATACATGTTTTAAAAGGTCGTAATATTTACGAGTTAAAAAAAATACACTTTGTACATTTCCCCCTTTTTCCAACGTTTTATCCCGGTTTTTCTCATTGACTGAAAAGTTGACCACAGAAAAAATTATCGTAGATTTTCCAAAAATTGTCTGTGAAAAACTTTTCTACCAGCAATTTTTCTCCAATTTACACGATAGACATTTTTCAATCGTTGGGTACAGATGTACCTACATTGATTTTTCCCTATACCTTCCCAACTTCTTACTCATAATAGTGACCCACCCACGTGCGAAGTATGTGCGTCTTTCTATTTATTATATAGCTAACCCGGTAATGCTCTGCTATCGCCAGATAATCTATAAATACATAAATGGATCTCTATTTCCCTTGATTATCGCATCACGTGAGAATGGTTGGTTCTTCAAAATGCCACTAATCAGACGTACCAACTTAAGTCACAGAGGTTGCGGTTTAAGAGGAATGTGTGGTGGTAATGAAATAACATTGGTGCTAAATGATAATATATTTTTGTTTATTATATGGTTGCTATTGGTCGCAGATTAAAATAATAATATTGGTTACTATTGGTTAATCGGGCATGCTTATTGATTTGTAATTTTCTTTTTCAATAAAATAATTAGTAAAAATTATAATGATGTCTGAGATTTAAACTTGATTCCATTTCACTAATGTTATAAACGTTGTCTTTTTATAATTTATGGACAAAAAAGATTCGTCAAAATGTATCTATGGTTATTAATAACGCACAAGATGCCAAATAAAATCTTTAAAAAACTGTCTGCTTAAGTGTACGATTATTACTGACTGTGGAGCTGAGAAAATAGTCTTACTAATGATATCAACCAATCTACCATTCCAGTTTAAATAACTCCAATTTCCCATGAAACTATGTTTATCAATAACCATCAATAAGGCACAAGGTCAAACATTAAATGTTGTTGGTTTAGAGTTTAGACCAAACCGTCCAATATTTTTCCCGTTGTACAGTTAAAAAAAATTTGCTAGTCCCGGAAGATGAGACACTTAATATGGTGTATTCAGAAATGTTTAATGCTTAAGGCAAATAGTAATTTAAAATTTAAATATATATGTTATAACAGAATACTTTTAATCCGCCGAAGGTGGACTATCCACTTTCCACTTATTTGTTTTCATTCAATATCAACACAGTCAATACCAAAAAGTAATATGGGTAAAACAAATAATAAAAAAATGGCTCGGGCAACGACAGGCGGGACAGCTAGTAGTGTTATAATAATAGTAAAAATAATTTTCTTGTCGTCCGTGACAGCCAAATTATCATCCATATCACCAATGCAACCCTCGAATAAACAAAAGTCAATAAATAAGCAATTCAGTTGCCAAAAAATGGCATAAAAATTAGATTCGTACCGAATATACCTGAAAACCACTAAATAACCCTCTTATGGGTTGAGTTTTCTAAAGTCCTTTATCTGTGGATGCCTACGTCATAATAGCTATCTGTATGCCAAAGTTCAGCCCGATCCGTCCAGTAATTTGGCTGTACGATGATGAATCAGTCAGTCAGAACAAGTTATTTTATATAACATATAGATAAACATTTTGTAGTTCACGGGAAGTTTTTAGGAAATAATAAATGTTGGCTTTACGTTTTATTCCGTGTAATTTATTTATTTTTATTTTTAATTTTAGATGTGTAACCCTCATTACACCCAGGAACAAAACAGTTGCTAGACGTAATATAAAATAATTAATACATGTTATAATTATACAAGTCTAAGTATTTCAACTTTGAATAGTTAAATAATCCAAACTATCGACAAATAGACATACCTAGTTAATACAATTATATAAATCAAAAACTTAAGAATTGAGAATCCTAATCACACGTACGCATTCATATACAGGGATGCCCGCTTAAAGTGATCAGAAATAGTTATATCAGAAATAAAAATTATACATTATTGTACAAAAGGAAGAAAAACCTGACGATCATTAATTTACGAACCTAATCTAATCGAATGTAAGTGTAAACCACACTGTCAGTCTTGACTATCAACTACATTGATTGTCATTCATGACTAACCGTATGTGTGTTTAACTGATAATGACTGACAGACTGACAAACAAATTTTATAACTGATGCAATTCAAACCAGTGGCGCAATTTGTGGGTAAGTTGGCAAAGTGAAATTTTTGGGTCCCAATAAATCTATACAAAATATACGGGTGAACATCACCAACTGTTTTGAAAGAATCTATAAAACGTATGTATGTATATATGTAAAATTATTTATTTTTACCAGTTTTTCAAGTCGCTGCTTATAATGATTTCCGATTATCAAAAGTGATCAAAATACTCTCGGTCGAATGTGATCATTATAAACGGCGACCACTGTTATATTATATTATAATATGTGACATTATATTATTGATAATATATCTAATATAATGTGTATGTATAATTCGTTTAAGACTGGATTTTCGACAACATCTAACTTAAATTCGATGTACCAATTAATTAGGGTTCGAGACTTATTGCACTTACAATTCGCATAAAAGCACCTAAAAACGTCAAAGAGGCCCTAAAAAAAAGCACTCCAAGCAAATATTATCAGGCCAAATGTTAGAAGGTTTAAATGTCCCCTGTCTAAAGACTCTAAATTATTAAATATAATTTTCTAACACGACACAAGTTATTATCAAAAATGTATTTTGTTTAAATGAAATTGTACGTATTATAAAAAAAAAAAATAATAACTTCGGGTTAATAATTCGTATAGCGTTAGAAAATTGTATTTAATAAGTTAAAGCCGTCAGAGGACATCCAAACTCTTCTAACATTTGATCTTCTAATAATATTTGCTTGAAGTGTTTTTTGGTGAATTTTAAGTACAAGTCCCGAACCCTACTAATAATTATTATTATTATTATCAAGATTTGTATCCTAGGTTACTATTGATTCGATTGCTTAAGACGGTCCGTTTGATTATGGCATTTTTAGAATCGGTGTTCGGGGCTATAATGACCGGGCAACGCCCCACCGGAATAGAACTACAGCTATAATGTTATAGTGCTTATTATTATAATATAAATCTTATATTTACAAATCAGAACAAAAAAAAACCGACGTGTATTGATTGTCGGAGGAGAGATTAAATATATGTAGCACACGGCGGTCGAACGCCCGGGCGCGTCTCTGGCAATCTCGCGGATAATATACGCGGATCACATGGTGACGACCGTCGGGTCGGGACTGCCGTGGCCGTCGCCACTGAACGCGTTCGCTATATCGCGAACGTTGTAGAACGCGCCGCCGACCAACGCGAACACGGCCATCGCGAACAGACAAACGTTCTTGACGTGTCGCACGGAACTCCGGATGAACCGACGTCGTCGTACCGCCGATGTCGCCGAGCCGTCGTCAAGCGTTTCGCTCCGGCCCTGTTTCTCCTCGTCATCGTACCCGTGATCCGGCGACCAATACCACACGGTTTCCATTAAGACCGGCAAGATCAGCCCGAGTATCGAGAGACCAACGGAGCCCACGAGCGAGATGAGCGGTCCGATGTCGGGCACGGCCGTGGCGATCAATACTGTAATAACACACACGTCGTGTCGCACAACATTATACAAATATTATTATAGTATCATTATACAATGTTGAAAATCGGACCGTGTCGACTTTTCATAATCGGTAGATCCGGTTTTGCGCTGTTATTTTTAATGTTAGAGTGGATCAGCCGATAATATCGGTAAACGCATTGTGTATATTGGTGTGCGTGGTTTCACGTATAACTGAGCGAAACGAGGAATGCATTGGCTTTACAATGATGGTTAGGTTTATTTTAATTTATCTATGAACAAATTTCCTACTAGAAATCTTGCTTCGGTTTTCAAATAAATGTAGCACATTTTCTGAAAGGAAATTTCATCTGGGTGATACCTTAAGGAGGCCTTACGATTTACCCTTAAGATTTTTTTTTTTTTTAATTTTCTAATTACGATTGGAAAAACGTTGGACAAACGAACAAATATTTACGTCGTAACGATTTGATCATTTTGCATTTGTTTGAATTGTGTTTTCTCCTAGAAATCTTGCTTCAATCAAAAAACGACAAAGAGACCGTTATTGTTGCATTTTCGATGCCCACCCCTATCGTGCAATGTAGGTCCGTCTATTTTTCTCTTTAATTTTTAAGCGAAATACGATAATTTTGAAATTATTACTATGTATATTTAATATCGACAAACGAATACAGACAGTGCTCTTACCTATACATCTGATCATAGACCAATCCACTCTAGTATTAAAAATAACACATTGACATTATTCAATTTTCGACATTATTCGTAACATTTATACATAGCATATAGTATATAATATAATGTACTCTAATGGCATGCAGAGAGGCATCGTTTCTATAGGGAACAATACTAAAAAAATGCACTATAGCCACTACCGAAGAAAACACCGAAGGTTGAAGGTAGAAAATGAGAATATGGGGCGAATGAAAATGTATACAAAAATAAACCCAGAAGTAGATTGGAAGAAAGTGATAGTTTTATCGTTAGATAGTGATAACTGAAGAAAAATTGATTGTATAGTATGTTTTTAAAGGCCTAAATCACTACAGAAGAATAAGAAGTAAGAAATATAAATTATAATTATAACAATTCGGTCCGAAAATTATTTATTTTATGGATCTACGTGATAGATTTTAGACCTTTCCCCTCACATCAGCATATGAGACGTGCATAAAAGCAGTGTTAGCGTTGCAGCTTACACTTTCAGTTATGAAATATTTATTGATTTTGTTTTTACTTTATTGGGTATTTTATTATGTAAGATAGTATAGGTAATACTGGTATATTTTTAAATGAATAATCTAAGCGGTCATCAAGTTGTAATAATGTAAAATTATACATTCAATTTTAGAATTTTGGAATGGTGTAAGGAGATGGCATATAAGTAACTTTCAAATGTGTTACACGGCCACTACTATACTATCAGCGTTGGTATGACCGAAAATGGCACTGCCATATTGGAACTATTATCAGCTATCTACACTTATTGACTTCAAACACTTCAAAATATTATAATGACACGATAGGCTTCATTTAGGAACTTTTGTCAATTATTTAAATCATTTTTTGATAATGTATATTTGTATCAAATAAATTGTGAGCGGCTCTCTAGAGCTAGTTAAAATGGACGGAGGTATTGGTATTAGGTAGGTATATAATTTTCGATGATTGTTTTTTATATCACACCACACCATTTTCCCGCATAGTCTATTACCTACCTATAATACCTATTACTAAAAGTTAAACTATAAAAATAGTAGGCACCATTGTGTATATTCAATGATGGTATCTATAATAATAATTTCCCTCGCCTACATATCTGCAGGTACAATGCTAAACGTACTACTGACTTAGATTCCGTATGGGCCGTATGTTTACTTACTGGTCCCGAATATCATGACGAAACGCAAACCATAATAGTATGCGGTCAACCTTGGAGAACTATCTTCCTCTTCTTCAGTCAAACCATCTACTCCGTGGTCCTTAACCAGTATGCTGCGCAGCTTCTGCCACGCCAGGTCTACGGTGACAGTCAGCTGGAGTCCGTACGTGAGCAATATGCCTATCGCGATCATCACCTTAACAGCTTCGGACAGCCTTCATGAAATAGACAACAGTAAATAAATATATTTATTATTAATAAAGTTTACGTCTTGCGACTTTTGAATACAATAATAAAACCCCAACCACGTTATTTAATAGTATAATGGCGGTAATAAAATATTTACATACGAAGGAAGCCGACTTAATTTTTTAACCGATGCATTCAAACAGGTTTTTTGGAAACATACATGTATTATAAGGGCGCTAGTGATTATTAAGACAAATTATAGTTAAAATTGAATCAATATAAATGTGCACGTAAAGTAAGCCTAATAATTAGTTGTTCATGCCAATTTAAATTTAATTGTCACCTGTAGTGACAAACTGATAAAGCTGAAAATATTATAACCATATCATTGGTTTTCGCATCCCTAAAAGTAAAAAACAATAATAGCACCTCCCACGAATAAATTAATTACAAATTTGTTTTATTTAAGTATTCAAATATTTTTATTTTTATAACGAAAATAAATATAATTTTATTCCAATTTAAAATATTATAAAATATTTGTATTTTTACGAAGAAAAAGTATTTAATTTTAATGCGAACAATATACTTGTTTTTTGTTTAACAAGTCGACTGCTGTGAGTATCTTATTCGGTACTCACACGATTTATATCCTATTCATTCATATTTTAGACTGAGCAGAGCGAGAAATGTATTGATTTTTTTTTCTTCTATGAACAACTTTTCAATCAGAAATATTGTTCAAATTTTTTAAGTGTAGCACTTTTTCTGGGAATAAATCTGACTAGGATAGTACTTTAGAGAGGTTATTTTTTGATTTCCCCAGGCGTTTTCATAATAAATTGGAAAATACACGCAAAACTTTGTTGGCATCTTTAGGGTGTTCATCTTTAATGTAATTCCAAAATTCTAAAAGTGATACTGAAAAAGTAGTGATCTAGTAGTTCTTTACATAGTAATTAAATACATAGCATCTTGCTAGTTGCTTAACGCACAAATATTATGTTATTATCTTAAGAATTTAAAAAAACGCGCGAAATTCTGAGTTTCGATCATGACCCTTACTTGTTTCCAGAAGGCAGGTTCAGTGATATGCTACCTGCGCACCTGCTGCCGTATCGAATGTAGCCAAAAAACCCCAGTAAGCCGTTTAACAATATAATGAGAACCATAGATCGGTGTAGAGTATAAGTCGGTGGCCCGGCAAGTTCTAGTGGTTTTTTCATCGCGTTCTCGATGTGCAACAGCTGTTCAAGATTAAAGTAACGGAGGTGTTTTATGAAACAAATAAACACATTTTTATTTTGGTACATAATAATAGCTATAAATACATTTCCACACGCTCTCCCCTCTACCTTTCGAAAAATTGTTTGTACTTTTTCTTTGCAGACATTACGTGTACATTATACTAACTAATTAGGTTTATACTTAATTAGTAAGTATAATTATTCAATAATTTGTACGAACAAAAAATTAACATTTTTATTAGCTTCGTTAAATTGGCTCCGACATATTGGAATATTATTAAGTTTAATTTGTTTTGTTGATTTATGAACAATAAACGATGATTCCACACAGGAATCAAGGCTGTCTGCAAGGATAAATCCACTAGGAGGCGATTCCAGTAAAACCATAAAAAATAAAAAATAGCAAATGGGACCAGACGTATATGTTAGTGCTTTACCATTCCGACGCCTTCCATTGAGCATAGCGTACTGCCAGCAAACAGTGACCAATGAGTCGCCGGCCAGATCACTAGCTTTGCACGCTCTTCGGGTCCGAGCGGAGTCATTCCATCGTCCCATGCTATAAAGTAAAACACGGCGCCCGCCCCGACTAACAGACATGCGTTGGCAGCCATCGAAAACGGGACCAAGTACTTGATCAGCCGAACCATACCCACTGGAAAAATGAGCAATGAGGTCACTATTGGATACCAGCGGATGGACAGCCCATGCAACGAACCAACCCACGAGTTATCCATTCCCGCGGCAGTATAGTGGTCAATCAACTGAAATGATAAATTAATAGTCTGTGTGGGTATATGTGTGACGATACGTACGTATCAAACCTATGTCATCTTACCTGTTTGAACGTTCCCGCAAGTATGCACACGTAGATGATGTTCACACCGTAATAAGTTACTGCCAGTGTGATTTTTGAAAAATGTCTGTTTAAGATTAATACAAATGGTCGGTTAATATTTGCGGTAGCCGTAACCAAATACCAGAAATGAATTAAACATGATAAGTTGTAGAGGGCGATCGCAAAAAAAAAACTTGTTTCATTTAACAGTAGGTATACGTACTTGAAGAACGGAGCCCACCAGGAAAAACGTCCACAAGCGCCATATTGGAACACGGCGGCCACCGTTTCCGGGTAGTCCATGGGTGGTAGGATCAACTTGTTGCTATATTGGTGCTTAGGTTGCAATTTTCCATGGCGGTTGTCGACTCTTTGGTTCACAGCACCACCGTCCGAGACCTTGTTATTTTGCTCAGCCAGCACATTCATGGCGTACTTGCCGGACCGCAAAGCCTGCGACATTCGAACCTATGCATGCGCACACATTATAATAATATACTTTTACATAGAAATAGGACTTTTCAGCGATGTTTTTTTTTACAAAAGTCATTTTCGATGATTAAGATTTGGCGGTAAAAAAAAAAAAAAAAAACAAGTAACTTGTAGAAAAACTATAACATAATGTAATATAAATAATAATAATAATCATAAAAACAGCTGATACTGTTGATGGGTGCGCAACTTTTGTAGGCGAGAGGTTAGGAAGATAGGATATATAAAATAATTTAACTTATGTCTGTAGCAATTAAAAACCATTGCTAACGAAAAACGATTCTGAACAAAGTTCGTTTGTACATTATTTGAAAGGTCCTAATATTTACAATTTTCAACAAAATTTTATCTTAAAATCATTATTAAACTTTATTAAATTTGTATTAAATTAAACATTATAAATATTATTATGGTCTATGAAAGCTAATTTGTCAATAAACGAACCAAAAATGTTCAAGTTCATAGTAAATAAGAATTTAGTTCAGAATTTATATTCTTTGAATATATTGAACTTTTCATGTCCAGTTCATACAATATGAACGTATTCTTTTCCATCAGTGATTATAAGAAATTAAATTATAGGAATTTATTGAAAATATGTATTTATTATACGTAACGGCTGTGAGAAGAAAACTGAAAATTTTAAGTGCCTACAAAAATACTTGTGGATCGACCAGAATTAAACTTTTTTCAAGTTTTCACAATAACCAGATATATTTATTTAGCAGGTACACGTAACCAAATAACTAAAGTTCAACATAATAATTCATAGTGCATTATTGATTTTACCTATTTGACGAAATTTAAAATTAAAAGTTTTAAATTTGTTTAGTTATACCGTATTACTAGCATAAGTGTTGCTAAATATTGTCCCAAGTCCGTAGTTAATAAGACATAGTCAGGGAGCTTCGTAAAATTGGTCCACCCGTTTTAAAATACCGATATGGCAATAAAGGTCTAGGTTGTAACTTTTAGATTCTCAGTGTAGTGAGTGTACTTTAGGGTGGTCATTTTTCGATTTTCTTAGGAGTTTCCTTATCAAATGTGATAAACCGAAAAAAAAAATGGACAAAAAACGGAGAAAAGTACGAAATGTAGTTATTAGTTAAAAAATATTTTGGTCTTTTTTATTCTTGTGAAAAGTTTTCTACCAGCAATTTCGCTTCAATTTACAATAATACCATTTTTTCTAAAAGGAAATCTGACAATAAAGGTATTTTAAGAAAAATGTTTAGATTTTTCCAGGAGTTTTCTCAACGAATGGGAAAAACCAGAAAAAACGAGAAAATAGGTACAATATTAAACAGATATTATTAAAGAAAATATATAATACCTGTTTAATTATTTTACCATAATATGACATGTATATTGTTGACAAAGTATCATTATCAACTAAACTCAGAATCGTTTTTCGTTAACAATTGTTTATCATTGCTTACAAATATACCTTAAATTCCCCTCTGTATCCTACGTTCCCAACTTCTCACCTACAACAGTGGCTGTACCAATGTCCGAAGCATGTGTGTCTTTTTTTTAATTTTCATTTCTAAAAGGTACAAAACGCTTGCTAAATATTGACACAGTTTTGGAGACTTTACTACAAAGTTAGGGGCCAACTTTGCAGACGTGATAGTTATTGAACTCGGAAATTATGTCATATTATATAACGCACATATAGACTAAAACAATGTGAAACACCCACTAAAACAGTGGGTGGGCCACTGTTGTAAGTGAGAAGTTAGGGAGGTAGGATATGGAGGGGAATTTAACGTATATCTGTAAAAAACGATTTTGAGTAGAGTTCGGATATACATGTTATTAAAGGCCGTAATATTTACTATTTTCGTCAACATTTGATACTAAAATTCATAGAAAATAAATAAATTAAACTCAACTTTTTCTTATTCACCACTAAGTAAAAATTATAATGAATCTCCTATTAAATCTTCAAGCATTTCTGGCAGAGAACATATTGAATAAAAATGACGTAAAAACCTCTGTAATAATATTCTGAAATATACATTTATGTATCCTCAAAAAAAAAAAAAAAAAAATGCCTTTTTACAGCATTTGTTTTTGTTTTGGATTTCTGAATTACACAAACTCGTAAAATATGCAATTTATGCAAATGGAAATGGTATAATTTTTTCAGTATACGACACTCGATACGTGAATCAAATTAGTACCTAGATAAAAATTAAACAATTAAACTTAATATATAGAAAATAAATTACGAAATTTGTTTAATATCCGAGCCCTGTATGTATTATATTTGGGTGGAATGTTTGATCTTCAATGAAAAAAAATGACAGTATCACAAAACCAGTCGAAAAAGTCATAATATTTATTAATACATTTCGTAAATTTATCTCTTTTTACATTTATTATGAAAACAGTTGGAAAAATCAAAAAATATTCTCCTTAATGTACCACCCCAATCAAAATTCCTTTCAGTCACTTGAATATCGGAGCAAAATTTGTGATAGAAAAGTTGTTCACAAAAAAAAAATAAAATAAAATATAAACATCATTGTAAAACCAATACATTCCTCGCTCAATTTAAAATCTAAAATAATGATACATATTGAATTTAAATATTTTTATAAGTAATTTATAAATCAATCTGCTTTAAAATTATCAAATAAATATATATACGGCAAGGAGGTTCAGGAGATATACCTTCCCATCACCTCTTATTTCTTTTTTAAATATTTATTATAATATACACAATGAACTTTTTAGCAGGCTCACACCAAATGTATGGTTAAATTATGCATATCAAATTCTTATTTTCAGAATATTAAAGTGTGTTAAAAAAAAAATTGTCTATACACGATTCTTATGAAACAGTTCCCATATAAAAGGCTATATTATCCTTAGTATTGAAAACAGAATAACTCAGCAACAGACGTTTTTTATGCACCTTAATTTTTGTGAAAAATCTTAGTAGGTATGCGAAAATATCGTGGTATTAAAAATTCCGAAAATCAGAATTTGAATTTATACATGATTTAGCCATACAAATAGGGTGAGCAAGCTTAAAGTAAACTATCACAATATTTTTGTATCATGATGGCAATCATCCCGATGAACTATCATTCTGTGACCACAGCTTAATATTTAATCTATTTATGGAACTTAATTATGTAGATTTCTGTAGTTTCATATCCTAAAATAAGAATGACAAAAAATAACGATAATGTACAATAATTATTGTACTCACTATCGAAGACATCATGTTCAACACGGACAACCCCATGATCACGGTGCCCACAGAACCCACCAACAGACCGGCGTTGCTGAAAGCCTCTGGCATCGCCAGGAATCCGCCGCCAATGGTCGCCTTGACCATGTGTACGATCGCCTCGGTGTTCCTGTGAACGGATGAAATAAACATAAATTGTTGGAAAAAAAGAGGCCAACCACCGCGTTAAACTTACGATATTTTATGTTTGTCTCCGGCCGAAACAACGACGGCCGAGGCAGCCGTCATTACGGACGAGTTGGACATGAGCCGCGAATGTCGCCTCCTCTTCGTCGCCGACGGGCCGCGGGTTTCCTGTTGCGCTTCCATCGCGTCGCTTCAAGTTCTCCGCGGACTCTGTCGCATCAAATAGGTACGTCGCACGACCGCTAACCGTGATAACGGGTAGTCCACAAACAATCCGTGCGACGACGAAAATATGTCGGGTTAGGTATTATGTTATGGTTACAGGGTAGGTACAGTAAAATATTGTATGCGCTGCGCCAGTGTGCAGTGTTTATAAATAGGCACTGTATAATAATATTATTTCCGATAAAGAATTATTGTAGGTTTTGTTTTAGGTTTTAGGTTGATCGGTCTCGTTCTGCACGGTCTTGTCGTTTGCGTGCACTCGGCGCCGCGGTGTTTATGAAAAACGATTAATTATTATTAAATTCGAAAAAAATACGTCGAGACGCGCTCGCATATTATACACATATTATACAATCACAATAGTATGACGCAATAACAGTCCGTAAGATAGGCTACCGGAGTTGTAAACCATTCATTGACGACTAATAAAGCAATAAAACGCCTGAATCGTTGACGTTTGTCGAGTGGGCACGGATCGCAAGTCGCACGCGCAAATCGCGAACTAAAAAAAGAGAGACCGCGAAACGCACGTGTCGACTGTGTAATAATGCGTAGTAATCGTGTGTATCTGTACATTTATATTGTATACGTGTAAACATTACCTATTGAGCGTCCCTGCGGATGGTATTATCGTCGGTTTTATTGCCGTAGGTATTAAAATATTATTATGCCGGCAGAAAGAGATTTACCTAATCCGGCGCAACGTATTAGCGCAGATGATATAAACAATGCTCGAGCAGCAGAGCTCAGACATTAAAGTCGAATTTTCCCCACCCATTATGTTCAATATATACGATACCTATGTTTATAACGATATGACGTGTAGGTGTTTATGTCCCGTGAAAACAAAATCTGACCATAAAGACGGATATACTTCGCACGATAGGCAGGCCACTGTTGTATAGGTGAAAATTTGGGAAAGTAGGATATAGAGGGTAATTTAATGTCTATCTGTACTATCATTGCTAACGAAAAACGAATCTGAGCGGAGTTTGGTCACATATTTTTTAAAAAGCCGTATTGTTTACCTACGATTTCCGTCAAAATTCTTATTAAAAAGATATTCTACATTACAATCAAATATTTTTATTTTACAACAAAGTACGACTTGTTATGAACCACCTGTTAAATTTTCAAGCATTTCTATTTGATCTAACAATTGTATCTCAGAAACCTACCGATTAAAAATTTACGTAAAAATCTCGTAAAATTAAAATATCTACAAATAATTTAAATGTTTTGAAAATGTAACCACGTCTATTTAAGACAAATATAGTTTTCCTGTCCGAATTTCAAGTCTCTACGAATATTTTTAACTAAATCTCAGCAAAAAACAAAATTAAAAATATTACATTTCGTAGATTTTTCCGTTTTTTCCCAATTAGTATGAAAATTCAAAAATGACCTCCTTAAAGTACCGCCCAGATCAAATCTTTTTTCATGTACAACACTTGTTACATCGGAACAAGATTTCTGGTAGAAAAGTGGTTTACAGATAAAAAACAAAATAAATAAACATCATTGTAAAACCAAAACATTCCTCGATTCGCTTAGATTATGTTTAAAATTATGTTAAATAGTTAAATTTCATTAAATTTTTATAATCATCGTGTAAAGGAAACCTATATATAACTTTATTTTTCCAAAGTTGCACAGTAATTAGTTAAAATAAAATTTAGTTAAAACTATAAGTTTCAAGTAATATTGATTTGATAAATTTTAACATAACAAGTTGACATAATTAACCTGTGAATAGAGTACACTATAGACACCGTAGTTGGCTTTTGGGTAATTAAATAGCTTAATGTCAAATGTCCCGTTCTAACTGCGTAAAATCTCAATATCCAAACTGCTAATCGGCCCAGTCAGATAATCGAATTTTGTGCCTATCCGGCAATACAGATTTTAACTATTAAGGCTTTTCATCTCGCAAAACCTAAACGCGTCCTGCCATCATCAAACCCAATAATCGGTTTAGTCATAGAAAATTATGTCTGGTTTAAACCTTTAACAGGTTAACACTATACCGTTCTACGTAATCTATTGGCAAACTCTTGAGGTGGGTTTTTTTTTTTTTATCTAGTTCCAGACTGGACCGATAAGGAAATATCCGGGAGCGCGTAAAAAAACCGAAAAAAATTCCAGCCAAACCGTAATTTAGCCGTCAAATATTTAATCCATAACATATTGTAAGTAGCGCAACCAGATGTGATTAGAAACGCCCGACCAAATTTGAACTGCCACGTAGTAGCAGTAGGTGTTGTGATGTGTGTGCGTGTGTATACGTGTGGGTGTGTGTACTTAAAAACTAATGACTAAAGGTAACTCTAATAATAAATGGTAATTCGGAAATCGGCTTAATGTTTTGTATTATACACCGATTGAAACAGTACAATAACCAATTAATGTAATGATAATCACAGCCCGAATTACGGGACCATGAAAAAATACAATATAAGTATAGGTAGGTACTCACAAGTTGATGTGATGTGCAGACTGGCCAACTGGTCTTAAACTAGAAATGGGTAAAAGTTCACACACACACACGCGCGTACGTACATGCATACATGATACATATATATATATATATATATATACATACATACAACTATATAAGGTTAGGTAACTAACGATAACTTAAGGTAATGTAAATAAAATACGGTAACAATGACAAATGTGGCTATTCGAGCCACACAACGGCCGGTCGCTTTACAATTGTACCAGGCTATTCAAGCCACAAATTATATGGAATAAATAGATTTGAAGGGTCTTTTTACAGTAAAAAATTCCGACAAGTCGACTGTTAGAGCCTATTGCACACAAATTGATAGGTATTACGTGTGGTAAGTATAACGTAATGATAGCCACGGGCGAACGGACGGCGAACAGTAAACGCGACGACGACGAAAACGATCGAATTATAATATTTTTATCAAATTATAGAACTCACATAGACATTTATTAAAATTAACTTAGATTAGGTTGCGCATATGAGTGACCGGTCAAGACCACGATAATTATTATAATAATCCCGTTAACCGACGTAATTGCATAGTGGCGATACGCGCTGTAGTGGTGGCGAAGTGGGGGAAGCGTCTAGTGCATTAAGCAACCGATCCTTTCTCGGCGCCAATTATATTTTGACAAAACCGTATATCAGCTGACAAATATTTTGACAGAACCGTATTTCAGTCGACACTCCGATTATAAATAATAAATAATATATAGACACGGTTTTAGAAGATAAGGTCGGACCAACGATTAAAATCGGTAACGAACAACATATTATCAATAAACGATAAACGATTGAAACGGTTACCTGATAACATAACCGAAAACGCAAGGTGGATATTAACGCAAGGTGTCCCGGGTACATTATTTATGAACAAACCGGGTACCGAATATCAGCCGAGTAATAATATCTATCAAAATCAGGTCTCCAGTACGAATCATCGGTCAGGTATTAAGTTAAGATAAGAATAATGAAAATAATTGAATATCTACTAAGAACTAGTGGCTAAGCCACCTAGCCACGAGTCAGTAGATACCAAGTACTCACGCGATAAAAAATTAAATATAAATATTAAATAGTAAACCATATACTGTCTACACTATACATATTAAAATAAATAATTTCCAATTTATACCACACCCTGAAAATGAAATATAAATTCTTTTATTGTGTGTACACATTTTTTCTCACTACTTTTACAGTTTTAAGTGAGCTTTACACAGTAAGCCGGGTACTGGGTAAAAAAAATGTATTATTACAGTACCGGATACGATCGAGTAAAGTTAATTTGTGATGATTGCACTAAAGTTTTAACTCGAACCCATTCTGAATCAGGATCATTAATAACCATAAATAATTAAGGTGGATTAACCTTAACTAAATTAAGGTGATCGTTAAATTATTGCATAGGCAAATTTTATTTTATTTTTACGTTGGTTACACCTAGTAAAAAAATTATTGTATCTCTATCCTTATCAATTTTCTGAAAACTACCCTGAACTAGACTAAACGATTGAAATGGATTACAGATAACGTAATAGAATACGATTAACAATGGGAACATAAAACTATAACAGCCTTTCTTGAACAAGAATACAGTTTCTCATATTTGTATCAGTTTTAGATATTATTTGAATAAACTATTAAAAATCTGAGGCAGACATCCTATAAAAGTTCTCAAATTTATTTGATGGCAATTGTCTTAAATCTTATAATAAATCCGTTGCATTGTATCTAAAATATAATAAAATAGTTAAAAAAGTGGTTACACAAAAGTTCTAAAATTATCTATAAAGTATATTATATAAAAAAAGAACTGACATACTTCGCATGTGGGTGCAGCCACTGTTGTAGGCGAAAAGTCGGAAAGGTAGGATACAGAAGGGAATTTAATGTATATCTGTAAGCAATTATAAAACATTGCTAACGAAAAAACGATTTTGAGCGGAGTTCAATTGATAGTGATGCTTTGTCAACAATATATATGTCATATTTTGGTAAAATAATTAAATAGACATTATATTTTTTTTTTTATAATTTTTGTTTAATACTGTACCGATTTTTCTGTATTCCCTACGTTTTTCCCATGTTTTTTCTAGATTTTTCATATTTGTTGAGAAAACTCTTGGAAAAAGAGAAAAATTACTTCCCTAGAGTACCACCCCAAGAAAATTTCCTTTCAGATAAAAGTCGTATACATCGGAGCAAAATATCTGTTAAAATGTTTGTACACAATATAAAATAAGAAAAAAAATAAATAAACATCTTTGTAAACCCAATACATTCTTCGCTACACTCAGAATATAAAATTATAGTACACAGATACAAATAAATAAATTTGTACTTATCTACTTGTATTTAAATATTTATAAAATATATTTATTTATTTGAACAAAATAACTTGAAATTAAATAATATTTTATATTAGTTTACCACCTAATAAGGCTTTTGTAAATTGCATGTACCTAGTACCTTCTTATACCAAATTCCTTATATTTTCTATTCTATTTTTAACTTATTTTTTTTAAATACTCGCCGCTTAAAATAACGAAATATGCAGCTGCGCTAGCAGCAATTTGCGTCTGAACTCTAGTCACAGGAATACTATTTGAGTTTATTATAATAACATCACGAAATACATGGCGAATCTAAGTATGCTATCATTATAGCATAAAATATTGTAAAATATAACACAATTAGAATTACAGATAATTCAATTGATTGATTTTGTTTACTTTATTGGGTACTTTACTAGATAGGTAATAAATATTATTTGTTGACGTAGGTATTGTAAAATGTTTATATTTTTCGTTTTGAGCTATTCATAGTATACAGTACGAATGGATTACGCCACTCGAATTTTTTTCGACTTTTAGTTTTGAAAAAAAAAAAACGATAAATAAGAATGCAATCCACAATTCATAAAATTCTAATTTTTGTTGACCTCTGGCTTTTTAATCTTCTACTATCTTAAAAATTGTATTTTACAGCCCAACATTTTCATAGTTACCTAAATTTTACTTTTTATATTCTGAGTTTAGTGAAGAATATATTGGTTTTACAAAGATGTTTATTATTATTATTTTTTTATATGAACAATTTTACAACCAGAAATCTTATTTCGATTATCAAGTATAGCATCTGAATGAAAATGTTCTATGGGTGGTACTTTAGAGAAGTAATTTTTGAAATTCTCATTAATATTCGAAATAAAAAGTCTGCTTCTTTAGGTTAGACAAGATTGAAAAATTAAAAATAAGGTTGTCATTGGGAACCGTTTTTATTTATTTATCCTCTGTTCGGCTCACTATATTTTTCTCCTTTTCCCTTGGTCAAAAATAAGGTTTTTTCAAGACTTTCAATACCTTATAAAAATATAAAAGTACAATATAATATTATTATAATTGTACAAACAATATTATTAATTATTGTATAGGTACTTTAAATATTAATATAAAATATATTTAGCCAAATATAGCCTTGTTAATGCTTAAGTCTTGATGTTTAGCTTATTGTTTATTATAACAAAAGTTGATTTGTTTTTCATTGTGAAATGTATGGTTTTATGTATATTTTAATAATGTAAGATCCATGTATGTATCATATGTAGTCCATACTTTTATCTAACTAAAATATAATTTATCTATAATCTGAATAGAGGTCGTTTTCATTTGAATCTAAATTAACATAGGTAGGTAACCAATACAGTAGGTAATTTGTAGACATTAATATATATATATATATAATATCTTGGTTTGAATATATTATGATAAGAGATATTTGTACAGTGTCCATGGTGAAACATGCCGTGTAGGATATATTGTATTGTGCAATAATCGTTATCACTCATAATATCAGATTATCGATATTTGATGAACATTCGATTTGTGTTATCTGTAATGTGTCGGCACAGTGAAACCCGTTTGTGGGTTGTCAGAAATTAAATAATTTCAACTGTACATATATTACAGCCGGTAATATAAATATAAACATTAAACATCCTTGAATGTACGCGAATGCGCATTCATCCTAATAATCAATAAGTTGGTATTCGATATTCGACTACTATAGTTGGAATATACTTGTATACGATCGCCTAACTGTGATGAAGACATAATAATATATATTATACTACTCGTCGTTGCAATCATCTAATTTTAATTTTATGTTGATTATTACATATTATGTGCAAAATCATTGAACAATTATTGCCCGTTTAAAATAAATTGTAGATACATTACCTACATTGATAATACATTTTTTTTTTTTTTTTTAAATATAGTACCTACAATATTAAAGCATCATAATAATTGTGTATTCATATGTACATACATTATACAATACATATTATATACGTGTACAACTTATGAAACTTAATAGGTACCGTATCTAATCATAGGGTTTTTTTTTTTTTTTTTAAAAAAAAAACCTTAAACTTAATTTTGTGATTTTATTTTCTTATATGTATTTTTAGATGTAAGAAAAATGTGTGTAACAACTTATTGCGCCATGCATGCATTATATAACAATTATAATTTAGCTTATCAAAAAAAAATTGTACATAGGTACCTAGGTGTTTTATATATCAATTTGTACCTATTTATAAATTCATTTTGTTATAGTGTTAATAATGCCCGTGGCTTAAAGTACAGGTGAATTATTCGGTTTAAAACGTAATTAATTAGGTAAAATAAATATTAGATGAAGAACCTACTATAATTGCCGCGATCAATTAACACATCTTTATTCTTTAAGGATACCTAATGGATATATAGGCATAATGAGTCTCACACGTATAGTGAAAAAGTATGAATCTTCTATGATTTGTTGGATTTTTTGGGTAACTACGTATCGGCTACGTATATTAGGTGTTTGCAACAATCTCAGAGGCCACAAACCTCTGGTAACTGATATTGTCTTTTTGAATGTCTATTAAAAATATTCATATGCGCCAACGAGTAACCAAGTAATTTCCATTACAATATTGAACAATACACCTACATCTGGTATCAGTTTAAAGGCTCCGAACGATTTGCTCAGACAGTGTTTGAAAATTCTTGTTTTAGGAGGTCGCCGCAGAAATAGACCCAAAAATATGTGCAAAAAGCTATTAAGGTTTTGTATAAAATCCTAACATGCGTCTGCGAATCTATACAAATCGCATCCATATGCTATGTAGAATCGCGACGATTCCCGTTCGCGGTTACTTACTCGAGAATAATGTATTGAATACTAATGTAACAGAATCCCTTATCCATCGGCCTTCGTGGCGCAATGGTTAGCGCGTTCGGCTGTTAACCGAAAGGCTGGTGGTTCGAGTCCACCCGGGGGCGAAAATTTTTTACCTTTTTTTTTTCGTCAGAAAATCGAACAACACCTTGCTGTACATTTTACGAACTGTTTTTTTTTTCTCGAACACTAGTTACGTTGCCGTATTTATCGATACA